GGGTGGTCGGGGTAGTTGGGGTTTTGGGGGCAAACTGAGCCAGTATCCCATGTATTCAGGATTTCTAAGTTATGAAAACAATCTGCTTTTGCAGTAATGTCACAACAAACCAGCTTATTAATTCAATTTTAATAGCTAATTAGCTTGTATAATTGTAAATAATGCCCTGTTGTCATATATTTTGCACTTAATTAAATTTGAAAACCCCGACTACCTCGACTACCCCGACTACCCGTGGGTATTGCTCAAATTTGCTACCCAAAACCCACCAAAACCCGCAATACCCCAAAAACCCGGGGTAGCATACCCTGATTAAAATCACTGACTCCTCTCACTTATCCTAATTCACAAGCAGAAGCTGTACGGTACATATTCTCTACATATTTATCGTGATGGGAAGTAGTCATGATGTGACCTGCTATGTGACGTTCATACCGGGTTGGTCATGAATTAGAATTCGAAGTACAGATACATACACTACAAATGGCAAAAAATATTTGTATCGCAAATACATTTCTGAAAAATTTTCCAAAGTATATTACAAAGTTCACTACACATTGTATTTCATCGAAAATACAAAATACTGTATTTTTCATACATTTTAAAATACACAAAGTTTTAAATGCCAAAATCCGGGGAAGTGAAATCGACAATACATATTCTAAATTATCAGAAATTCTTATTCAGAATATGTAATTAAGTACACATAAAAGTACTAAAATACTACCAAATACTAAGTACTAAATCCGTCGGAACGGAATTGCGTCAGAATTTTCCTAAACGGTGTTAAAATCCACATGCTCCGATCCGGCCGGAATAAACTATCATTTCGTTCCGTCGGAAAATTATCCCTTCCGGATGCCATATGTAATTCCAACACAATTATGCTCATCATTTATGCTTGCGTTTCCAAATTTTGTTATTTATTTACTTAATGCCCATAAATCATTTCACAGCCGTAATGCAACTAAATATTTAATTATTGACGAATATGAATACGTATTTTAAGATTATTATTATTAGGATTATTCCACCCTGCATAACAACCTTGGAGCTGTTGGTTTTCCTGGTATTCGACCAAACTCACTTTAATATTTTATCCCAGAATTTATCCGGGCCATGGCATTATCACCTTTAGTCGTCAACAAAACCAACTCCGGATTAATAATTTATGAGAAAGGCAATCTAGCCTTCCCCAATCTTGTTCATCCATGTGTACATACTTTACTGCACAACTTCCTCTGTAAATAAATACACTCTTAAAAATCCGATCGAGCCATAATTCTCCTCCGCTGCGGTAATGGTGTGGTAATGACTGCCTTCGAATTGATTCCTTACTCACTAGTAAATTTTTCATTATAATTTTCAATTTTTTGATTGTGTATTTCAATTTAAATTCAGACTCGACATAACCATTGATGTAATAAGGTGTATAATCTATGGGCCTTGAGATTTGTAAGATTAAATGAATAAATTATTATTATTATTATTATTATAGTAAATTTTTCATTGCCATTCCATTACGTCGGACTAATTCTAATACAACCTAAGTGACTTCGTTTCTTAATTCGAAAACAACCTAAATGACAATAAAAACTATAGCTTTTACTGTCACTTAGGTTGTTTTCGAATTAGGAAACGAAGTCACCTAGGTTGTTTTAGAATTAGTCCGATGATTACTCGGCGGTAATGCTGATTATTGCCAACCCTGGTAGAGTCACATATGTATTCCGCTCGGTAATGCTTTTATCACAAGTTTGCTAAGAGTGTACTAATAACTATTATTACAATTAAATTCTTTGCCCAGCCATACAGACAAAACCAGTAATACGACAATATTTAAAATCCTGTCACTCTGGCGGCTCCTGCAGAGATAATCTTTCCCACTTCTCTTATCTAAAATGCTTATCAAAGATATCTTCTTCATAAAACGTAACCTCATGTATGGGACGTACTTTGGTTGTCTCTTTGTAAAATGGGATAGAAAACAGGAGAAAGTAGTTGTGAGGTCGAAGGGTCAAAAAGTGGGTATTCTGACGACCCTAGTTGTCCACTTCTTCATCTGCTTGACCCGTTTCTTCGTCACTTTTAAGTACACGTCAAGTCTGGTAGACCAGGCGGAGGCTGGAATGGGAGCGGTAATTTATACGACTGCTTTCCTACTAAGGCTCGACCTTCCGATTGATCTCGTTTCTGTACAACTTGTCAATTTTCTGATTGCTCAAACCAACAATGACTTTGGTACGGTACTAGATTTGAAAAACCTTGTCACATTTTATTTTGTTACTCGTGTCAAAATTAGATCAAATCCTTGCAAAAAGTTTTTCTTACAAATTACAAAGTGTTTGGCATGCAAAAAATTTCTGCAAGAATTATTTTCACGAATGATTTCTTTCCGTGTAAAAACTTGGCGACACCTAGTGGGATATCCATGTTACAATAGTAGTACAAAGGGCGCGCCGCTAGGTGGAGCCACTTTTTGGCATTTTTTGTAATTTCTTGCACTGTACGAATATGCTAGAAGGATGGGGTGACTTTTGAGCCCTTATTAAATCATACTTTCCTAACATTAATCCATTCAATCAATCAATCAATCAATCAATTTACCTTTATTCAAGTGTAACTTCATTCAACTTTTCCCAGGTCGCACTAAGCTCCAACTCTGCATCAATTTCTTATACGGCGCTGCCGAGGTGACAGGTTTGTTCCTGTCCGTGATCATATCCACCCTCACGATTCTAACTCCTTGTCAGCCCATCCTGTTAAGCTGTCTATTCTGCAAGGATGGCGGTCTTCTCACCGGACAAAGTCACACCACCATCTACGCAATTAAACTATCATTTGCCGTCCTTGAATTCATCTCCCTCCAACAACTCGTCACCACTTCCGTCTACTACCTGGCAACTGTGTTACTCCATGGAATCTCATTTTTGTGGATGTCCTGTACAACCTTTGTCCGTGGTTACATCCCGGGTTGCAATATTGCCCGGCTTCTGGCCTACAAGGAGCTCAAAGTTTACGAAAAACTGTTAAATTATTGCACAAAATCACGAATTTTCCTCATCACGGCACTTTTAGTGCCAGGCTTGCAAATTTTATTGTGTTACACGTCCCTCAAATTATTTCATTCTGAGGACATCTCCAACTTTGAGGCATCTTTGTTTCTATGGGCTTACTTTCTTGTCCTGGTTTTTACAATGTTATTGTTCTCTGCGGCGGCACAGATTAATAATTTGAGTGTAAATTGGATCGCAAAGTTTAAGGGGAGCAGTGACAAAAGATTGGAGAGAAGGATGCACAAATCCCTGATGTCGTTGAGGTTGGAATTTGGGAATAATTTCGTAGAAACGTTGACCCCACTTGTGGTACAGGAATTCTGTGTGAGACAAACGGCTTCATGTCTTTTGGTGAAGCGATAGGAGTTGAACATTTTTCGCAAATTTGTTTGTTAATTATTCTGAATTTCAATAGTTTTTCATAAAACTCATCGTATAAATTCATTTATTTTTTTAAATATTATGAGACGCCTTGTTTATATTTCATGCAAGCAGATTTGTATGGCTTTTGTAGGTACATTGTATTGTTGAACGGCAAATAGAAATTTTTATATGAATACGGAATTGTAATATTGTAAAAAAAAATATACTTATAAAATATAAAATATGTATAAAATATAGTTTGGGGTTAGTTTGGGTAGAAATTTGGTTGCATGGGAAGGAAAGTGTTTTGATAGGTGTGCAGTTTTTTTCGAATTTACGAGGCCTTAGTGGGATTGAGCGACGTAAATATTTGAATAATTGTTGGGCGAGAAAGTTTAAAAAAGTGGGAAAGATTGTGGATGAGTTGCTCAATGTAGATCCAGATAGTCATATTTGTACGGAACAGTTGTGCAATTTATTGACGAATTTTAATAATGAATTAACATTTCATTTATTATCATTCAGTCATTCATGACATAGTAAAGTTTTTTCATAGCAGAATTGCTACATAGTCGGACTGTTACATAGGATATGTTTAAAATGCTGGAAATCTTTAATGGTTGCGTAAAATTTATCAATCTCTAATTGTCGCACAATTCAAAGGAATTTAAAGTGCACAAAATTCTTTACGAATGACTCTAAATTTTACCTGCTATAATTAAAATTTTTCGTTTTCTTGATGGTTCAGCCCGAATGGAATAATACATTAATATAACATTGCCTAAATATTTATTAAACGTTCGGAAATGGTCACATTTTTAAAGTTAATTAATTTAATTTAATTTAATTTAAGTTAATTTAATTTAATTTAAAGTTATATTGATATTTTTAACGTTGGTTGAATATTATCTCAATAACATTATTATAACACTAGTCAATTAATGCTATTTAAATATTGTAATAATCTCAATAATATTTTTACAGAGTTGAATTAACTTTAGAAATGTGGCGATTTGGAATATTAATCCAACAAGCAAATTTCCATTCGGGAGGTTCTCCTCCAAAAATTTACATCTGTATGTATAAAGCCATGTTGTGGGATAATAGTGGTGCTAGTAATTACATATCATAACTAGTAGCTTAACATAACTAGTAGCTTATCGTCTGGAAACTAACAGTTATCATAGTCCGAGTTAGCCAGAGGTCACACATATATATCCATATTTGTATAAATAATTGTATTTGCATAAAATAATGAGCAATGTCTTACTCAATGTCTTGCACTGTGCAAGTTGCACCATACAGTATCGCGAGTCTCAGCTTAAACCAAACATAAGGAAATGTATCAACCTGTCTCCAGGTAATTTGTACATATATAATTATCAATTTTCCCCAACTTACTGAATGCATTAAATATCTATGCGTATGTAATAAATAAGCAATTTGTAAACAAGTAAAACAAAATTTATTATTAACACCCATAATTAAATTTATTTACATTTAGTTTAATAAATATTTATTATTATTATAACTTTAACCACCTCGTTTTCAAGTCAATAATTTAAAATCACAATTAAAAATTAAATCATTAATTAAAAATTAATGAAAATTAAAAACTATCACCATCTTCTCACGGGCATATGTAAATACATATGTTTGATCCGTTTAGAAACACAGCTTGAAGCAAAGCTGTAATTTTTTTCTTGCTAAAAAGACTAGAAGAGAGAAATAAATCAGTAGAGGAAGACAACTTATGCGCATAAATACTCTGTGGTATGTACTGGCTCTATCATAGTTTTTCCAACCATATACAACAATGAAGACCAAGACGATAAGTATCATGATGACCATCAAGTACGAGAAAGAATTGTAGAGAGTGTCGTGTCGGATATTTTTGTCGGCATTCTGAAATAATCAATGAAAAATATTGTCTCATTGAGGAGTACCTATTATAAATTGCGTATAAAAATAAACCATTATCAAAAATATTCATACATTGTATTTAGTATTATTTGAGCATCTCCATGAAATTTGAAAAAATCCGAGACAAACGCATTATCGGTGATAGGTTACATACGTATGATAATCGACGTTAGCATCATATTGACAAATTATTATAAAATAGTAAATTTGCATGTTATTTACAATACTAGTACTAAAGCTAACAGTAAGTATAAATTGATACTAACAATGCGATGCAACACTCCGATTTCGATGAAATTTTGGAATAATGCAATTCAAGTCAACATAATCAACGATTCTTGAGGCGGTTTGTGCGATGGTCAGCATTTGTCAAAATATTTGAGGTCGAAGTTGAAAAAGTGGGGGATTTTTTGAAACGGGGGAATCAAACTCCTCTTCCATTCCCTCCGAAGGGAAAAATCGCCCATTATTCAACTTCGACCTCAAATATTTTGACAAATTCTGACCATCGCACAAACCGCCTCAAGAAACGTTGGTCGTGTTGACTTGAATTGCATTATTCCAAAATTTCATCGAAATCGGAGTGTTGCACTTCACCCCATCGCATTGTAAGTATGGGCGTAGTTAAATAATTGATACCACTCTGGTACAAACAATTACCATGTCACCTATACCGACATATCTAGTCACCATCTGGACATACCTTGTTACCCGATTATTTTAGAGTATACATAAATAGTGACGGAACGTTTAACCAAACAATGTGTTACGTAATTAACTACTTAATTAATTCGTAATGTAATAAATAAATACCTTTCTCTCCATTTTTCTCCACACAATGAGGAATATTTGATGAAATATCATCAAAATACCGGTCGCTATTGAGCTGCCGAAAAGTGTGGCAGCAAAGGGCCAACCTCTTCCATCCTTATGCACTCCATAAATACCAACTGCAAAATAACCCAAGCCAAATAACATCTCTAATACGGCGTAAAGGACGGCGATACGTTTGACGTCCTCTAAACCATTTACCACGACGCGGTCACCTATGTAAGAAAACATGGCCGAGTTTCGTGTTATTAGTACGAAAAAAGGGCGTGGCTGAGGATACTGGTCAACACTTTGGATTAATTGGGTTATCTCGGCTTCTATCTGGGGCAATGAGATATTATCAAACACAAACATGGTGGCGCGGTTTCTCATCAAAGTGTAAACTTTATCTAGCATTCTTCCCGCTGATAAGTCGTTATCTGAAGATATCCCTAGTTTTGCGGCTAGTCGAAGGAAAGAAATTCTAAATGTGACGTCATTCTGGGCATCAATCCAAACGCAAGTTCCTTCAAATTCGGTGACCGCGAAATGCGTAACTAGGCAAGTTTTGCCGGAATTGGAAGAGCCCGTTACGACTACGGCGCGTCGGTTGAACTTGAAGTCATTTTTGAGTTGGGTGATTTCTTCGATGCGGTTGGTTAAGGGGCCCCCGAGGTGCGTTAGAGGTACTTCAAATGTCAAGACTTGCGATTCAATAGATCTGACGGTTTGGGCAGATTGTTCGATAATTGAAGTAAGTGGGAAAACCCTGCTTAACGTGTCTGTAAAAAGTAAGGAAATCGGAGCTATGATTAACCTAAGGATGAGGGTTTCATATATAGACAGCGGCAGATCATCTTTAAACTTGACACGTTTGAAGAATATGATAAGATAATCCTGCATGCGAAATATTACGATGCACTGGCCACTCATTGTCGAGATTTGTGACCTTTTGACCTTAAATTCGGGATTAGCGACCTTTTTGAACCACCCTGTATATAATTTTCTCAACGCAGGCATAGGAAGATCATTATCTTAGATCACAAGATTACAGATCAAGATCAGCTTTAATCTAGATAAAAAACTGTGGATATGATCCTAATTTGGTTATCCATGGTACATATTGTTAATTTGATCTATGACCCTGATCTGTTTCGCTATATTAGCATACTTTTTGCATAATCAGAAAATTCCTCATTTTTACCTGCAACGGAAACGAAATCACCCAATAGTAAAACTCCATACAAATTTCGTACACTTGGCGGATTCCTTTGAATTGTTATCCAGTGATTCAAAATTTTCATAATTATTTCATGAAACGGTCTCGCCCCCGAATTGTAGATCATTTCCAGTTGTACAAAATCTGGATGTGGTGCTCGCAAATCGTAGTAGAATTCTTTCCAATTAGTGACGAAATGGTCGTCAGTGACAAACAGGTCCACGATCTGTTTTGCTGAGATGCGCTCCAAATTCGTACCGTCTGGCAAAAATACATTCATAATCATCTACAAAATATTTTTTTGCAATGACTTTTACAATAACGCCACGTACAAATATTTACATAGAAATAATAATCATATACAAATAATTTGTATATTTTTGCAAATTTGTTATAGTTACCTTCAATATCCACAGCCGTTTGATTTCCTGCTCGGTTTTCCATATTTATGTGGCCAAAATTAAATTTCTCTAAAAAATACGGTATGATCAAATTAAATTTGGATTGTTTCAGCACCCAAAGCAATACTGGAGTTGATTTTACAGACGTCAAGATGACTAACTCAATTGCGCATCATAATATAATCGTAGTGCTATCGCTAACCAGAAACAATCGAGTAATTAAATCGTACATGTTGATAAGTTTATTATCGGTGTAGGTTACTTAATTCAATTATCTGTATTTCTCAACTATCGCTATCGTGTATCTTGATCAGTGTCACCTGACTCATGACTCATTAGTAATGAGTCAATCATTACACATTACAATTATGGTTTTGTTTTTCCCGTCGAAAATTCTTTTTTCAAGATATATAGGTGGGAAAAATAGAAAAAACTGGTTCCAATATGGACAACACGATGTATTAAGTTACCTGGAAACCTACAAAACTTCTTTAATAGTCAATATTTACGAGACTGGACTTCATATTCATCACCTTCATAAAATTCTGGGGGGGGATTCAATTGAAAGATAGGCAAGGCGTAAGCATGAATTTTGCTTAGCATATGAAAATCGCGATTCAATTAAGTTTTACGTAAGAATATGCTTATGCCAAACTTATTCAAATTCAATTAGAAGATGGTTTGCTCAGAACCGTGGTAAGGCGACGTTCGTAACGCTAACTAAGCGTTGCACGATAGGGAAAAAACCAATCCTGCCCATGTGAGTCAGCGTTATGAAGTTTACGAACGTCCTCTAACTTTAAAAGAGTTTTGGATTAGTTTTATCTTTTTGGTTAAGTACGTTTTCTGATTTTACAACCTCGGTTTTGGTAAATACAAACTCTGAAGAATCTAGTAACATTGTATTAGCCGGATACATGTATACGTTACGTTACTGCGGTGGCAATAAACTTGTTGTCGTCTGGTATTAAATTTATCAGCACGCATTACGCGATTTGAAATTTGAAAATATTACAATATTGAAGTACAGGTATAGGTATTTTCGTGTTTACAAGACAATACTATTCGGCAATTAATTTTACAGTTAGATCAACTATTTATTCGATTCGAATGAGTTTGAATTATGTATCAATGTTTTAAAATAATTCTTAAATAACTAAACTTACATAAAACGTTGTAAGTGTCTTGATATTTGCAGATAACTTACGAAGAGTATAGGAAACATTAATAAACCTAATGGTTTGCACTTTGCATCAATGTTGAACTTGATCAAATTTAGAGATGGTTGATCAAAAAATTGCAAATTGAAGTGTTTAAGAATCTTGCCTTTGCACCGTAAAACATAAATGCATAGATTATTATAGGGTGAAACCCTATAATGGGAAAGCTCTGTCTGCCCGTCCGTCAAATTTCTCGTTTTAGACGTATTTTAGGACGGGAATTTCGAAAATCGGCATGCTGTCGACGTGCGATGACCCTGTGACCGTGTAGACGGTGCTAGAGTATCTTAAAATAATAACTTAAAATTTAAAGAGAATATCTAGCAGATAGGAAAAATCCTATTCCTTTCCTTCCTCTTATGCAACATATGCACCTCTTTAGGGAATGCACTTTTTATTGCTCCCCAACTCCTTTCCTTTCCAGATCCTTACTTTTTCCCGTCGCTTAACCCGATCCAGGGAATGGTCAAAGTATCTTCACACACACGACGAGAAGGATGAAGCCAATAAAATCCCAAGAATGCATTAGTGGGACTGGGTCAAGCGAGAATAAGCGTTGACAAGATTGGTTCTTCGGTTTTTTAGTTGGGGTAGGTTAGACTTATGTAATATATAGGATACAGCTTTGTTAATTTGAACTCTCCCATTTTGGAACGCTTTCCTCCTAAAGAAGATTGATTTTAAGGAAAGAGAGGAGAGAAAAGGGGGTCAATTCTCTCTCCATTTACCATACACACTCAAACTTCCGTAAAATCTCAGTTTCTCTGAATCAGGACAAATATGTCAAGTTCATCTCAACTCACTTGTAAAATATCCATGCTATGATTGAACAATAAAGTCCTACCTTTATAAAGTGTGAAACTTTATTGGACTCACAAGGGAAGGTCCCCGACTGCTTATCATGTCCAGGGTACCCACTATGTTTTTTAGAATCTACTAGGACCCCAGATGAAGGATCCATTCATATTTCCGTGTTAATCGCATATTTGGCGCCATGCATATTCGCATATTCGCCAAATTTGTATGTTTTTATTTTTGAAACCGCCATAACTTTTGAAATCCTGGGCGGATTTTCAAAAAAAATTCCAAACATCATTAAAAAGAGTTCAACCTTCGTATGCCATGAAATTTTTCAAAAAATTTGTTGTTTGAATTTTTGTCAAAATTTTGGAATTTTTTTACACTAGGGGATTCGCCAAAAAAATATCAAAAAAAAAAATTTTTTCATTTTTCATTTATTTCTTAAAATTTTGACCTTTGTGATCATTTTAAGCCCAAGATTTTGAAAATCCCCCGGAAACTAGAAAAGTTATGGAGGTTTGAAATTGGTCGAAAACGCAGATTTTTAAGTTTGGCGCCACGCCATGGCGCCAAATATGCGATTAACACGGAAACATGAATGGATCCTTCGTCTAGGGTCCTAGTAGATTCTAAAAAACATAGTGGGTACTCTGGACACGATAAGCAGTCGGGGACCTTCCCTTGTCAGTGCACATATTATTTCACGATAAACAGTCGGGAACACGCACGTAACAGAGGGGTCTACCACTTGGTTTCAACCTATTGCTACATTTCGTTTGCAACAGTTTATTTTTCTTATCCATATATGAATTCGTCGGTAGACCGCATGAAACCACTCCCGAAGCCAACGGAGTATTTTTTCCTTAGTTTTCGGATTATAAAAAACTTCGTGTAACGCCAAAACTCCGGACAAGATGTACAGAAATATCAGGATGTACCCAAATAGAATTAAATTGCCAAGTCCCACAACATCTTTTTCAAATTCTGGCGACATCCGCGGGGACCAGTGAATAAGGCCATAAAACCTAGGAGTTAAGAGTCTTGCAAGCATAGCGTTGCTTGCAAGGTATACATTTCTTTGGGTATAAATACCCGAACTCCGATAAGAGACTGGGAAATAGACATTATGGAAGGTCAAAAGTTTTATTAAGGCGTTGCAAGAAACTTCTTTGTCCATCACTACAAAGATTTCAGGAATTGGTTGGTACCCCTTGTCAGTTTCGATTGGATGGTTGTTGCTGACAAGATGTGCAAAATCATACCACGAGGATAGTAAAAAGTTTGTGCTATCCTATTATCTTAAGGATGTTGAAAATGTTTGAAGTATTAGAAGCCACCATTAGTCGCTCTTCAATTTCATGTGTGAGAAAAGATCTGAACTATTTGAGCCATTTGAAAATGTTGGAGTTACTGAGCCCGTTGCTATATAATTGGTACGGCGGTATATCCGATGCTATTTAAATCGCTTCTCATATATGGCAATGTCCTTGTGGTTAGCTGCGACGTGTACGTTCCATGAAATAAATTTCCAAAATTCATCGCTAATACTGTGCAGCAGAGAATAGTGATTCGAACAATTGTACTGCGTCGCTCTTTAGACGATTTGTCAACGTAAACGGACTGATCCATCAAGTATCTCACCAGAACAAGGGAAATGTGCCAGGTTAACGTGTCTCCCGATGGGACAAGATTTAGCAACATATTTAAGCAGAATAGTACCATAAAGAGGCAAATCCAAGTATGGGAATCGAATGAAGTAAGCAAAGCGAACCCGTTAGCTTCTAGCTTTTTACTAAACACAACTGTTCTAAGTTCGTGGTATTCCCCAGCGGGGGTTATGAATTGTTTTGGCAGATGGAACAGTTGGTCTGCTTTGTATAAGTAAGACAAAGCCAGCATGTCGTTGTTTACACGAAGATAATACAAGCGAAAACTATCAGTACCCATAGGTGCGCAGCTTCCGACTTCGGGAAGTCGGAAGCAGCTTCCGGACGTCGGAAGCGGCGATTTTTGGTCGGAAGCGGAAGCACTGGAAGCTGGAAGCGAAAATTGTGGTCGGAAGCGGAAGTACGGGAAGCTGGAAGCACAAATTTTGCCTGGAAGCGGAAGTACTGGAAGCTGGAAGCACAAATTTTGGTCGGAAGCGGACGCCGGAGGCTCTTGGAAGCAATGTTGTAGGGGGGGTTGGAAACAGCTTCCGGACGTCGGAAGCAAAAATTTTGGTCGGAAGCGGACGCACTGGAAGCTGGAAGCACAAATTTTTGGTCGGAAGCGGAAGTACTGGAAGCTGGAAGCACAAATTTTTGGTCGGAAGCGGACGCCGGAGGCGGAAGCTGTTGGAAGCTGCGCACCTATGTCAGTACCTCCCAGCTTGGATGTGAACGTTAAATTAAATTTGCGGAACAATGTTATCGCGACGCAAGAAAAAGGAGTGGGTGAGCCCCTGATTTTGTAAATCCCACATATTTTGTGGTAGAGTTAGATTTTACCCTTTGTTAGCTTGGTGATTCGACTAACGTCTACCTGCATATTATCCACTCTGCCGTGTCCATTAAAGATCCGTGTGTATAAATTCCGTCGTGCCCTGGCTCTTTCTGACACATAGTCGGAAAGCATTTCCGATCTCAAACTATCTGTGAACTTTTCAATGAACACCAGTTCAAAATGACCTTCTTGGACAAATATGATAATCCTATCTCCTCTAATATACATTTCATATATGATCGCTCCAAAAGTACTTGGGCTGTACACAAATCTACTTTTTGTTCGTGAATGGGAATTGGCGGATAGCGGGATGCCTACACGGATAAACACATAATGATGTTGTGGATTTTGGTACATTAGGGGTAATAGACTATAAGTGCTATTACGCACATCTTGTTCCTCTTCTTCTTGCAAGTCAATGAATACAATTGGGCAAAAATCCTTTGAATTTATATATCTCAAATTTTGTTTCTGCGATAATAAATATTGCTGAATTGTCTGGTTCTTCATTGCTTCAGTGACTAATTGAACACGCGTTTTTATGTCCTTAACCGACTTTGGAAATATGAGGGTGGCGTCTGTTATCCAGAAACGTGGGTCGTCATAAGGGTAAGTTTGGCTCGTAAATATTTCTAACGTGCAGCCACTAAATAATTGAAGGAAATTGTCAAACGTTCTAATTTGGTTAGATGGGTACAGAATTGTAAGGAATACGTAATACAAGAGCTTCAACATTGCAAGAGATTATTTTGATAGCTTGCTATTTTTGTAGTGCAATTTATGAAACCCATAACTAGGTGATTCCCTCATCTCTTACTTACTAAACCCTAGAAATGTCCAGGTCGCCAATTGTGCCTTGAAAATTCCAGAAAAAGGGGATTAACTTTTGGGAACTCATAAACATAAATACATATGTCGCTTGAATTAAAATTGTTACTGTTAATTATTGGGTTTAAGATATCCACTATGCTATCCTAGTAAAGGCTAAATTGTAGTTGCGGGTTGTCAGTCTCCCACAAAGTTCTTCGCAACTCGTATTCAAATTAGTGCTGCATATTTGTATACGAGTTTGCACCAGGATAAACACAGGCTTATATTGCAGAAACTTGTACAGAATTTGCCTCTATTCTATCAAAGATATATGGAAAAGCCGAAACCAGTAAGTTTTGCTCATAAAAATTTCTGACGTGTAACCAGACTATAACTGAAGGAAATTGTTGAACTATACTAGTTCGTGAGAAAGTTGCAAAATTGTAAGAAATATTGACAATAACTTTCACAACATTGTGAATCATAATTTTGTATGTTCTGCTACTGAAAGAGTGGCTGAAGCAGACGAAGCAATTGCGAATCCGTAACTCCTCGCTTTCGTATTGCTACATACAGAAGTGAAAATGCTGACGGCAATTGTGCTGAATATCAAGGCAACATTTAACTAAAACAATGTTTATAATGAAGTAGACGCCTATTTTCTAATCACTAGTTCTGGTAAACGAGTAAAACAAATGCTTATTTATCGATATTATTTAAGTAGAACCTATGCATATATAATGAGGACATCAATTTTGTCCATTTTTCCATAAATATGTAAATATATTATATGTGGCTTGAACTTAAATTTCTTACGGTAATGATTAGGTTTCTTATCGCTATGTGGAACAATCGGTAAATTTGATATGCTACGATAATAGAGCCTAAGTAAACTTATGCAAATGAGGTCACAGAGCAGAGTACGAGGACAGTACTCCGCTTGTTATTTCATTTACATTAGTCATTGATACACAATTGAGTTGGAATTGAGGATCCAATTCCACGATGGTGATAAAATTTTATATTATTTTTGTTGCGGCGAGGCATAAGTTTAATAATGGTTAAGTTATGCGTAAATGCCCATGCAATTTTTATATGATTATTTAGTTAAGTATTTTGTGACGGCGCGGCATAAGTTTAATAATGGTTAATTTATGCGAAGAAGTCTATGTAGTTTATATAGGATTATTTGATTAAGAATTAAGCATAAGTGTCACGGCGAGGCATAAGTTTAGTAATGAATAATTTTACGTACAAATTTCATGTACTTTGGCCACCCCATGAAGAGGTGGCCGTTGCCATGGTGATGATTGAGTGGGAAAGGAGGTATGAAAAGAGCGTCTCCTTTGTCGTTGAGAGACAGACTGAACGTTGAGTAAGTAAGTAAGTAGGAGTTGAGCAAGTAAGAAGCTCACTTTTTGTAGTGGTCAAATATTCGAATAAATACTAAAATTAATTAACAGAAAGAGTTTAATTCACGTGTTTTAGTTATTTATTTGCGTCTACCTTACTTCAAGCTGGATAGAGCATTTTTGGCACGATTTAAGTAGTTTTGGCAAGATTTAGGCCAGCTTTAGTCAAGTCCAAGTCCAGTTTAAGTCCAAGTCCAGTATAAAGTCCAATAAGTCTACGTATAAGTCCAAGTCAAGTCTACGTATAAGTTCATTACGGCACGAGGTCAGATCACCAGAAAACCAGTTATCACGAGAAGATAATTTCTGAAGTTGATAAGCCCCGGCCGTAACAATTTTATCTCTATGCGGTGATGATTTATGAAACATACCGGCAATCTCAATTTCACCAACTTTGTAATAAATGTGCACCACCAGGAATTTTTTAAACACAATTTGGAGTAAAAAAAAATGCACCCACAAGTTTAACCGGATTGAGTTAAATTATTTCTGTGCAGCGCTAAATTTTGACTTCATTTGGTGTTTGACCAACTCCGAGTTATTACAAATCTATTCCGCATACAATAAAAACAACGCAGCAAACTGATTTGCACACCTTCTTGAATTAAATTTCCTACGTTTTAATTCTATTTTATGGACTTTGGCAGGGTTGCACAAGCTCTCTTCTTTCTCAAACTGAAGCAGATATCAAACTTGTCACGTAATATATAATCTTATTTATGCAACCTAGGCGATGTGGGAATGAGGAATACGTATGTAACTCTGTTGGAGTCTTGAAGAGTGGGTTGAAGATGAATTTAATGCAAGGAAAAGCTCATGAAAACCCAGGTACAAGAGCTCACCATCGTCATGCGTATGTGTGCATACACTTTAGAGACAGATATTTGATACGAACAGATTCTGTGTGTTGTTGGGCAAGGTTTATTTGCATATGAACGTATTTAGTATGTACATATTTGTGCAAAGGAGACCTCCACATTTTCCTTTATGCAACTCATGGGTCTTTCTGAATCTTTATATTGGTATCGTCGCACTAATTCCAAAAGACGTAAGTGCACTCGATGCTTAATTCTATCAAGACCAGAGTTTGCAAGGGCAAAAAGGCATGCCGTGCCTAAAATGCCTTTTTGCCTATTGGGCACATGGATTTTGGACATGCCCGATTGCCCAAATTAACTGTATAGCGACAGCGTTAATAAATCCCACCAAACTAAATAGCATTCATGGGTTTGACGCAATTTCGTCCCACATTCTCATCGTTATCACAGAAAAGCTTATAATTACTAACCACAGCAGGGATAGCATTGCTGGACGAAAGTATGAATGAAAAATATCATTCATTTGAATTTCCAATATTTTCAAAGTTCCGTAAAACTTTAATTTTTTGGATACTCCTTGGAATCTTGTCCAGCTGTGTAAAAATTCAATATTTCATTCAATCACAAGCATGCAATGTAGTATCGTTTCATGGTGAAATGGAGGGTTTCTGCGGGTCTCTGGACATCCTATCCTTTACAATACATGCCGACGCCACTTTTGAAATCAGCCTGGTGGTGATTTTTTTCTTATAGAAAATCCAATAAGACATTTTCGTTCTTTCAAATTTTTCGAAAAAGTGGTCGTTTAACCTGTTAAAAAACATTGAAATTTTTATATGCAATAAAATTTCATAAATATACATAAAATTTCAAACTTTCAATGTTTGTTAGCGGGTCAAGTGGTTACTTTTCGAAAAATATGAAGCAACAAAAATGTCTTATTTTTCGATTTTCTTATTCACGATTATTCCGATTCATTCTTATTTCGATTCATTCTTATATCGATTTTCTTATTCTTATTTTCTTATTCATTGCACATCGTGTAATGCTTATTTATAACAGAAGTTGGCTTACACTTATGGCGTACAATTTATTCGGATCATGGACGTCATTTTATTTGGAAATTAATATTGGAATTGCAGTTTTGGAACAGCTAATACGTCTTCTAATGTATTAAGCTTGAGATTGCATACAGATCCTACCCAAAATTATTGTATGTGGCTTCCAAAATCAAGTCAATCATCACAAAAGAACGAGGTGGGATTAACAGGAATATTTTAAATTATATGTATTAACCTACGCGCATATATGTGACCCGAGATAAAGCATCAATAAAACTTACATTTATTTGGTTAAGCTCACACAAATAAAATATATTCAGTTAACCGATTTAATAAAGTTACTCTCAAACCCCTGAAGTCAGGGGACAAGCCGCATTTGGGATAAGGGTATTTGTGCTACTGCAACTTGTAAAACGTCTCTACCGGACGTTTTACAGTGTATAATTTGTTTATTTATCAAGTTTCGCCATAAACTCTCATTACTCAATTCTTCCATTTGCTGCTTTAATTTCTCATGATTTCAGGGGTTTGGAGTACATCTATTTCAATGATTTTATTAAATAAATATATTTCATTTGTACGAGTCTCACAAAAAATGATCGTTATCAATTCCTTATCTCTGGTTCCACAGTGCATTCCTACCGACCCAATCTGCGGTGAGAGAGCTGATTCAATTTTACAGGAAATTCTGGTTCGTCCAGTGTTTGGGAATGTGCATTCATTATGTGACGTAAAAATTCCGATTGCCTTAGAAGGGAAAATCACGACCTGTCGTTCGTGTCTGGGGTACCCACTATGTTTTTTAGAATATACTAAAACCCTAAATGAAGGATCCATTCATATTTCCGTGTACAACTCATATTTGGCGCCATGGCGTGGCGCCAAACTTAAAAATCTTCGTTTTTGACCAATTTCAAACCTCATTAACTTTTACAATTTATGTGGGATTTACATTTTTTTACTTAAAATGATCACAAAGGTAACAATGCGAAGAAACAAATAATAAATAAATTAATTTTGAGACATTTTTAACATTTTTCGCAGAATGTAAGAAAATCTCAAAATTTTGACAAAAATTGAAACCAGCAATATTTTGAAAAATGTGATGGCATACGATAGCTGAACTCTGGGTCGTAATTTTTAGATTTTTTTAAATCCGCCCAGGATTTCAGAAGTTATGGTGGTTTTAAAAATTAAAACACAACTTTGGCGAATTTGGCGCCACGCCACGGCGCCAAATGTGAGTTTTACACGGAAATAAGCATGGATCCTTTATCTAGGTTCCAAGTAGATTCTAGAAACCATATTTGATACCCTGAGCACAAACGACAGATCGTGAGTGTCCCTTGTTAGATCTGACGTAATTTATGGACAACCGCGTCGCTGACGACGCGGTTGTCCATTAATATTTAATGGTGGCGTAAAATATTTTACGCCTTACAACAAATTCCTTCTTATCACAGTAATAAATATTTCTGCAACGCAAATATGAGCTTCAATTGCTATCGTTATATTGCTCATTCTTATACAAGCAAAGTGCTGAGCGTAATCATATTTTATCATCATATCATTTCAACCTTTATTCTAGTGCAAATGTATATCATGGATATGTGTCATGCAGTACTTATTCAAAACATATTTAGGATTAGAAGTAGAACCTGAGTCGAATTATTCTCATTCGTTTGCAACCCATTTGTAGGAGCGGTCAGTACTCCGCACCATCAAATTGCTATTTCAGCTTTGTACGTTAACAAGCATTTGTAAATATACCTCCTGATTTTTTTGCAATTCACAAGCATAGCCCCGAGCTTCCAAATAAATATCTAGAAACTGAAATAATGGACGGGGAAAAGAATGTCGTCATATTTGGCGAATCTGGTAATGATTTACATATATACAACCCCGCCGTGTCAAAATTCTCTTTACTAAATTTAATATCAAATAATACAGGAAGTGGTAAAAGTTCCATTGTGAACCTCCTCCTTGGAAAACCAGTGGCCCAAGTTTCTGATCGAGCTGTTGGATGTACGTTTGAATTCAGCAAGTACACTGCACCAAATTATAATCTGTTCGATACTGTTGGTCTTTCGGAAGGAAGTAGGCGAAAAAAGTTCACACAATTTTAAAAATGGTTGCTTTGCCTCAGTGAAATATAACCCTGTTCTTCTCAGGTGAAGGAACAGTGAGCCAAAAATTTGCGGTAAATCAACTAATCAATCTCTTAAAGTCTTTGGAGAATGGGGTTTCCCTTTTGGTCTTTGTGATGGAAAAGGGAAGGATTAAAAAGAGCCTAGATGAGAATTATAAGCTATTCGTGGAGGCAATTTGCATGGGGAAAGTGCCCGTCGTTCTTGTAATAACTCATTGCGAGATGGAACCAGTTCTTGGAAAGTGGTGGGAAGATAACAGACAATACTTTGATAAGTATAGGTACAACAAAAGTAGTGGGTAGCATATGTGACCCGGATCTACCCACCCAGATGTAAATTCGATTCTAGATTTTTAAGCTGTAGTGCCGAGTAAATATCCCAGGGGACCAGATTTCTACGTGCCAAAGTCACGTATCCACCTGAGTAACATCGGAGACGGGTCGAAGCTCAACTCCTACATTTGTGTCCCACAGAGATATTTACTCAACAAGAGAGGTAGGCTCCTAGGCCACTATCGGCAGGGCCAATTCTACTCAGGGACTATTTAAGAGCACATCGAATGTACACACGGGGTTTGCCAACTTCGGGTCACACATACGTCCCTATTAATTGTTATGTTCAATATTTATTAACCTTTTATCATTTTACACGCAGAATGACTTTCACCTCTGTTGTTTGCGGATGTTCCATGAATCCAGAGATGGCACCGGCATTAATGCAGCCCATGGTAAAATCACTAAATGATACTACAGTGGCACAACTTAGCAAAGCCATAAGTTCCAGCATGCTTGTTCCCGGATGGAAAGTGAAGGGGGGTTGGAAAACCTTGCTGCAAACCATCCTGAGGAGAATTGTAAAAATTATTTGCATATTTCTTCAGTTACCAGACGTAAATTTATTTGCTGGTAGTGAGCTAAGTTTTGAGGATAGGCTTTTCGTCTACTTCAAGGGACAGGGGTATGATGAGCTTCTCTCCAAACAGATGGCGAAAGATATTGCAAATGTAGTGTGATATTAAAAAGTTTTGAGCACTTCATGTCACTGGCTTACTCTTTGATTGAAAATTGGAGTCATGGGTATCCTCTGGGGAATAAGGCACTATTTACGTACATATAACTTGATTATTTAACTTTATTATGTAACTCTATACAATGAACATTAATATTTATTAACGTATCTATTCTACATTACATAAATTTCTGTATAGATAAAGATTTTTTTCCTAAGTAGTTTAAATGATATAGAGGGTATTCATGGGTCTATGTCTTCGGGTCCTTGGTATTCGTCGTATAACTTACGACGGTTACTAGATTTTGTAGGCGTCGTAAGATTTTTGTCATCGAAAATCACGTTACTAACAAGGGACACTATGTAGGTAGGTAAATATATGGGCAAAACTCCAAAATTTCTGAAGAAAAATATCGAAAAAAAATCCGCTTTATAATATCTAGTTTACTTTATTCATTTCTAAATAATTAATAAGTATAATTTGATTCAATTACTCTAAAATATTATGGTAAAATGCAATAAAAGTAGTTAATATTTTAGATTTTGTCCGCTATTAATTTTATTCTGAATTTACATCGCTTAATCATACTTTGTACCACAAACAATACTTGCGCACATGAAATTGTAATTTTATGATTTTCTTGTCCGATTTATTAAAATTGTTTAATTTTGCTAAAGAGTTATGGAAATGCAACAAAGGTGAACTACACTCTATGAAATTTTATCGCGCTTGATCAAGTAATTTCCTTGTTCCAGAGCCTTGATCAAGTTTCTTCTAAAATTCATGTGCTCTTGCTCCATTCGGATCAAATATATCATACCAAATATCAAGACACATATAATATATAATGGGATACCTCAGCCAGGTCTGAAAAATCTCGCTTGGTTCGCCTGGTTAGAAATTTCCCAAGTGTTAGCGAAGGTGCATCATCACCGTCACTCGAACAACCAATCAGAGCTCCCCATTCTAGGTAAAGTTGCCGCGGGTAGCGGGTCGGGTACCTGTTACCCGCTTACCCGCCCGATATTGCGGGTAGTCGCTACCCGTTAGTAAGCGGGTAGTGACTACTACCCGCGCGGGTAACGGGTATTTTAATTTTAATTTAATTGTTCATCTCGCCCAATTGTGCGAGCGATTGAGTCATATAAAAAATAATATATGTGCATTTTGTTATTTTTTCCGGACCACTAATCAGTGATTATATGCGTCAATGCATATGTAGTGAAATCTCTGGTTTATGAGAACGCCAATTTTCGGATAATCTGGGGCTATCGCACGGGAAAACTAAAAATGCAATGTTGTGAAGTGCAACATTCCGATTTTATTGAAATTTAGGAACTATGAAATTAATGTCAATACAAGCAACGTTTATTGTGGGTCATAGTTAGGTTACATCACATAGTTAGGTTATGTTATGGTTGAAGAGTCTTCAATGAAGACGATTGATTTTTACAAGAAAATTCAATTTTCTTTCCCAGTAAAAATTGCCCATTCTTCAGCATTAATCCCAAATATTTTGACAAATTTCAACCATCGCTCAAACGTTCCGAAACGTTTTCTGCATTAACTTTAACTACACAATTCCTAAATTTCAACAAAGTCTGAATGTTTCACTTAATACCATGCCATTATACATACAGAATTCAAGTAAATTGGGAGAAATTACTATGTATTTCTCACGCATAGCGAACCTGCTTTAAAATTTCAGAACTACCTAATTTCACTAGTATCTACACACGAACATATTTACATAGGACGGGCGATCTTACAATTTGCTTTTGTACGCCCCCAAGCAATAAAGATACGATTTAAAGTAAGATTTAAAGCAAAATTGTTAGTTGCAGGCCAGTGCTGTTTAAATGGTAATGTCATGTAATTGACAATTTCAACATGTCGAACTGATTGCTTGGCTAAATCAAAAAGGTGGTTTTCACAAACAAGTAATGAAATGTAGCTAATCATGATCCAATATTTGGACACCATTATTTCAAAGTGCTTGTCAACCTAACAGAACAAATGATTAATTAAACCGGTTTTATTTTGGAAGGTGGTTAATATTTAGCTTGATTTTCATAGCGGGTAACGGGTAACGGGTACCCGCACGGGTAACGGGTACCCGCACGGGTAACGGGTACCCGTGCGGGTACGGGCTGTTGGACAGCGGGTCGGGTAACGGGTAGCATTTTAGCTACCCCGGGCAACCCTAATTCTAAGCTAGCAAAAATCTGGACAGGCTAGACTCCAAAGTGCAATTAGTGTCGCTCATTTCTTAGCTTGTCATTTAGTGTTGTTATAAATTTTAAAGTTCGCGCACAATCTCACTTTATCCCATGCCGGAGCAAATTCTCAGGCGAATTATTAAGCGAAAAGAGTTCAGTCAGAAGCTCGCTTAACCTAGAGAAATTTCTAACCAAGCGTAGCAAGCGAGATTTTGCACAACTGACTGAGGTCCCCCACTCATAGCCATATTTGCATGAATAAAATATCAGTCTTTTGGGAAGCAGCCTGAAATAGCTCGTTCTTAATGCCTTAGATGCATGAAAAGCATTTAAATTAATCAGTTAATTTATCATACTTTTCATTAAACTCGGAAAATTATGTGTAAAATTCTCAAAACATTTTGTAAAAATTATGCCATAGTCGAAACTGCACAGTTTTATACAACCACTCTTTTTTATACAACTTTATGTACAGTATAATCTGAGGCCATGATAGATAATGACTTTAATATGTAATGTGTCAACAAATCTCCATCTTTTTCTCACATTTAACAAAATTCTAACAATATATTTCTAAGGGTAGACTTGAACTGGCCTCATATGTAGGGCCCACATTCTTTAATACAACTCTTTTTCCTCAAAAAATTATTTATAACTTGAAATAATTCCTTAATCCTTCGACGGAGGTGCTTCAAAGTCGGCAGATGAAATTTCGTGTTTGTGGATGAACTGATCTTGCAATTGTTTTGATTGTTTCATGAAAAAATGCATAGCAACCTTGTTGAACCCACCCCAGTCGACTTTCCCGCTTCCTGAAAAATAAAAAAAAATTGTCAACACGAATTCCTTCTTAGGAGTGGCAATCCGATCGGAGAAAATAATATCCGGAATTTGGATTCGGAGTGGATACGTTATCAAAAATCGCAAATTTTTGATGACGTAATATATGGATAATCCCTAACGTATGTATTTATTTATAAATACCTGATCTTTCCGCATTCTCAATTTCTCTCTCCAACTCCGCCTCATCGATTTCCCATCCCGGCTGCATTTCCGTGATGAGCTTCTTGACCTCGTCAGGTGCAACGCTGCCCCTCCGCTCCGTCCTGTTGAACGCCTTCTCGATCACTTGAATGACGGGATTAATTTAAAAAATAATAATAATTAAATAAATAATTTAAATAAATAATTTAAATAAATATGTTGAACATCTATGTATTTAATACGTAATTTTCACCTTTATGTGTCTCCGCTTGAATTTTTTCTTCCTGAATTTTTACCAGATAGAAAAATAACCATGGAAATTTAGAATATATGATCACGATTATGTAGAAAATACTCACCATTTTATGTTCAGAAACTTGAATTTATATTTAACAGGGGGATCTACCCAGTCAGAAGAGTATATTAGGACTGAATAGAATAAACATTTTATTGTTGAATTTAGCTTGCTCAACTTATTAGTGGAAGCATCTACTTTGTCATACATATTTACGAGGTGGAGAATATTTGGTAATATGTAAATATTTTCCACGGGGAATGATATTTTGGTGTCGGGTTTTAAAATAGCTCAACTTAACCTCATCATCTGTACATAAGTCAAACTCGTCTCGCTCTCTTGAAGGAGATCGCAGATCTTCATCAATAGGGTGAGAAGACATGAATATTTAAAGCCTGCATGGAGCGAAGCACGTAATAATTTTGGCACACGTTGCAATCTCCAATTTCTGGTGGGTAGCCAGCAAAATATCAATATTGTGCAAATATGTAAATACGTCGTGATATGTAAATAAAGTGCGGCAAAGCACGATACATAAGTAGCGCAAGCATGTGACCACACCCCCTGGCGCCGAGGGGGTGTGGTCCAAAAGTTTACGGGATCCTCCCCCAGAGGTCATATGTATGATGCCGTAAAACCGATTTCGATTATCTTGATGCGTTCTCGAGTTATAGTGCTCACAGACAGACAGACGGACGGACGGACAGACTAACTAACCGATCGCATAAAGTCGCTTGCGCTACTTAATAAATACGCCACGTTTCCCATCAGTTAAGGAAAGCTATGAATACATACTTGTTTAGTTGACTTTATCTCATGCTGTTCCCGTTGAGTGAGTAACGAGGAGAAAAAGTTGGAATCAAATCCATCAGTGTAAAATATTATGACATTTTGCTTGTTATTAAAGTGGTGAAACATCTTTATGGGAATGTCTTGTACGTCCGGCCGTATCCCTAATATCCTTAGAACGAATTAGAATTTCCAATTTTTGAAGTTTAGACAAGTTCGAAGATGGACATTATGTATAAATAGGCAATAAGGTCACAGCTACACAGGGCAAAAGTTAACATTGACGAATTTTTTTGTTCAATTAGACAACAGAAAATCCTTTCATTATTGGATAAAATACGGCCCTTAATCTAATAAACAAATTGTTTCGATGGCATGAAACTCATTTTCATGATGTGAAAGAGGAGCATAGAAAGTTTAGGGTGAAATCACACGAGCCCAGTACAACTTAAACCGTGGGAACGTGCATATATTACGTCATCACTTTACTGCGTTTCTGGTTGAGATCTTTCTATTTATCTTTCCCATGTTAAAATTTCCCATCCTGCAATGAACACGTTAAAGAAAATCGAGAATTTTTGATGACATAATGTTTGCACGTTCCCTATTGATCTCAACCTCATAACTGCTTCACAACGTTGCCAGGACGAAAAGACCGGCTTATTCCACACATACACAGCTGGATGTATGTAGCTAAACCTGGACAAAATATTATATTTTTTAAACTTTTAATCCGTTTCCAACAAATAAGTTTCCATCCAATTTGCTACCATTAAGCGACTTGTCGAAATTTCCAAGATCAAAGTCAAACAAAAATAGAAATAGTGGGTAGCTAAGTATTTAATTAAATAAATACACTTTAAATAAAATAAAAAACTAAAATTTAGTCAAACTTGACTAAAAAGGAGGATGACATTACAATTGGGTGACATTTAATTTATTAAAGCACTCTTAAAAATCCAGTTACGATTATTACCAGAAAATTAAAGTTAACACCACTGGGAAAAATGTAACACCAGTTGGCGACAACGATTTTCCAAGTAGTGATACATTTATAATCAGTCGGTGACAAACTTAGAATCACGCCGGTTGAGTCGTATGTATACGTTTACTTCCTGGTTATAATCCTATAATATATATAATATATAATATATATTATAATAATAATATATAATATCCCTCAAATATCCCTCAAATATCCCTTATAATATATAATATATAATATATATATTATAATATAATATATAATATATACTTTATAAACTTTTTTTGTGGGGGATGTTCGAGCAACGAGGAAAAATCCGACCGGTCCAATTTATTCTGTGAAGGAGGACTCTTTCATCCTGGAGAGCACGTTAGTCGACAAATAATTTTAAATCTAATACTGCAATTTAATTAAGTGTATAAATTTAATGGTTCGAAGATACATTTAAAATTTCCCAAAAATTTTACAAGATTTGATAAAATTAAGTACAACTATTCGAAATTATATGTAGACCTGTTTCACATTTCTATGACATGCTGAGGCAAGTGGGGCACTTCCCCCCCCCCCACAAAAAAAAGGATTTTGGTATTGAATTCCATACAATCTCCATCGTAGCGTGGCAACAAAATTTTCACTTGGTTACAACGAAATTGTCATTCAATTATTTGATTCCAATATGTAATTATTCAATACATGCAGAACTGGCAGTACTTTACTGTAGAATTTGTAGGTTGCATGACGTGAGTCTAATATAATTTTGAATATTTGACATACAACCAAACAAATAAACTTAATTTTATAAAATTTCGCCCAGTGGTTTAATTTTTAGCAAATTTTAGTTTAGTCCGGACATATCAAAACACCCTGTATTTCAATCAAGGAGACGAATGACTGCACTGTTTGGCCAAATTTATTTGGCACATTCTGAAGAAAACTTGTTTTTTTTACCTAAAACGTTTCTAATTTGCTAATATCGCTAATAATTCTTTGGAATCACAGCATTCCCACAAACCCAAGCGATGTCTGGAATGCGAACTTACGTCCGGACGGTATCGTTCCTGTCGTTGTCCATCCAGACCTCGTCTCCGGAAAGGATCCGGATGCCCTCCGACCCCTCAAGACGGAACAACAGGAAGGGATCCAATTCCTGTGGAAGTGCTATGAACAAAACCAAGGCGGAATCTTAGCATATGACGTCGGACTTGGAAAAGTAAATACTCAATGAAATTTAGGGTGTTCATTTCGAGTTCGCAAAAACTTTTGGCGATTACAGATTAATTTGCGAACTAACGCATCTGTGGCTAGTATTCATTTCGAAAAATATTTTTTGCAAATACGGAAAATGTAGTAATGCAAATAGTCAACAAATCTCGGAAATTTTTTATATTTCTTATCTGGTATATTTCAGCCGACGAAAAACTTTGGTAACCAATGGAAATTTACTAATTTTTCCTATTTCAATTTTGGACACGCTTGAATGTGAAATTTTGCGAATTTTGTCATTTGCGTAGTATTTCGTAATATTTGCATTGTACAAAAAGTTACTTGTGTTGCGATGGGAACATGCGAACTTGTAAACAGGGCTTAAATACTAGGTGTGAACTAATTGTTAATTACAAACTAACTCTAATTAGTACAGCCGAAGCTGATTCTAATTAATTTGAAGTCAGCAAAAATGACGAATTAATTAGAGCATTTTCTACTTAATTGGGATACATAGCGACCTCAGTCTATTACGAAAAGTTTTCCGCCTAATTACCAATTATTAACTAGTTAGAAAGCCCGTCTGGGAATCAAGACCCACTCAGAACTCCAGTTACGATTATAACCAGAATGACTCTAACGGCGTGGTTATAAGTTTGTCACCGACTGGTTATAAATTTATCATCCTCGGAAAAATGTTTATCGCCAACTGGTGTTACCCTTTTTCTAAAGGTGGACCGGTCAGTGACAAGTTTATAACCAGTCGGTGACATATTTATAACCAGTCGGTGACAAGTTTATAACCAGTCGGTGACAAATGTATATCTAGTCGGTGACAAATTCATATCTGCAGTGGTAAAGTCATATAAGTTTACTTTCTGGTTATAATCGTACCTGGGATTCTAAGACGGCACCCTAATTGAAATTCTCTCAATACATATTTACAACAATATTCTCTTTGCTAAATTCCAGACCCGAACGGGCGTCACTCTTATCGCCACGCTGCTCGAACAATCCCCCAAAGTAGAGGGAAAAGCACCCCCGGGGGAAAAAAGTTCTTGATCCTCGCCCCCAAAAATGGTGTGTCCGTGTGGGAAGACGAATTCCCAAAATGGTGTCCTTTCGAAATATCCTGCCAAGTTGTTGTCGTCCGACCCGGACAGGTTAACGGATGGCAGATCGTAACCGATTTTGTCAAGCCAACAAACCCCTCCAAAGTTCTGGTCATGTCGTACGAGTCATTTCAAAAGTACAACTCTTCCTACAACGATGGAGTTGCTTCCTATCAGCCAAACAGTGTCGATCTCGTCATCTGTGACGAAGCCAACGTCTTAAAGAACGACGCGACTAACCGTGTCAAGAATTTGATAACTTTCAAAGCCCCCAAAGTATGGATGGGTTTCACAGGGACGCCATACCAAAATAATGTCGCGGAACGTTGCAATTTTGTGAGATTCTTTAGAAGAGGGACGCCACTGGATGTTCCCTCTTACCAGGCACAACATTGCAGGTGAGAGTGGAACCATATCTCCCCAGAAACTCGTAAAAATCATTTTAATAATCCCCTCGTCCTCCTATCTCACAATTTTTTTAAATTGGGTCAAATACAGCTGGCAATACTTTCAAAAATTTTCGCCACTGCTTCGAATTTGGATCCCAGTTTTATGTGTTTTGAAAAAGAACTACCTTTTCCGTATCATTAATTCCACATTTTACTAATTTACAGGGTGATAACTTCAGAGCTAGAGCGGCATGGAAAACTGGTTTCACTAGAGGGAAAACAAATGTTACTAGATCTCCGCCAAATAATCCCTCCCGTCATGCACTTTCGGATCAATACACTAAACATCGAACGTCACGAGATAACCCTATGCATCCCACTAGCCGGACATCCGGACTACTACAGAAACCACCACAAATTTTGCAACACCGCCTCTACCGCGGACTTATAGACAAATTCGTAACCATGGACAGAGATGATATGGCCTTTTTTGCAAAGCTGTCCTACCTTCATAAAGCCTGCATTCATCCAACCGACTTAAAAAAGGCGATGGATAACCACCCACAAATTTTTGAAGAGCTAATTCAGCTCTATGAATCCGTCATTTCACCAGAAGAATTACAACATCCGCAAGCTTACCAGTTTTTGCCGCTGCATTCCGCAAAACTTGCCGTGGTTTCTAAAATGGCCAAGTATTTGAAGGATCATCACCCCCAAGAAAAGATGGTCATCGTGTCCAACTCCGTCGTGCTTTTGAACATGGTCAAGTACTTTTTTAATAACACGCTAGACGTTCGAGTCGTCACGATGGACAGAAAAGTGAGGCAGAGCGGGTCCGATGTTTAAAAACGTTTGATGAAAATCCGGATGTACAATTCCTCCTGTTAAGTTTGAAAGCTGGCGGGACAGCGCTCACCCTCACGGCGGCGAATCATCTGGTCCTCATGGACCCAGATTATAATCCTGCGAACGATCGCCAAGCGTTTGGAAGGATTTATAGGTTGGTTTCCAATCGGTATATGATTTTACTAGCGTGTAAGCCCGTCTGCCACTGGGCGAGGGATAATTTTGACCTGGTCAATACGATCATGGGGTCGTACGTCGAAATGGAGACGATTTCTAAACTCCCCGCGCTAAAATATGTGTAAAATATTAGAATTTGATTATTGTAGAAATTCCACTTTTCCTACTTTCACTTCAGCTGCTAACATACAATATAGACTGGAATTCATGAATAGTTAATAAATATGTTGGATTCTGTAGGTTATCACAATCCCGACCGGTGTTTATTTATCGATTGCTGGCCACAGGCACGTTAGAGGAGCACAAATATGTTCACCAATTGGGTAAGAGAAAGTTTTATAATCAATCTATTTAACAGAGGGACTCGCATGGTAGTTCTGTTTGCGAAAACTTGTAAAATTTGTGCATGGCAAGTAAAATTTGAGTTAGGCAAGTAAAATTCGCCCCAACGAAAGTTCGTGGCGAATTCTCCGTAGGTCCATTTTAAAGTTCCAAGTCAAGGCTCATCCCGTAACCATGGTGATCTCTTAACACAGCAAATTTATATTCACCTCAGAAAAACATGTATGCTTGAGCGCTAACCCATTTTGGTCAAAAGTTTCTACTTTACTAATATCACAAAAATCGAGTCACGTATAAGTGACCCTAACATGTCACATATGAAATTATCACCAAAATACTAAATAATACCCGTATCTATTTGCAGGGAAAGAGGACATGGCGAGATGTTTCAAGTCTGAGGAGGAATCCGGGTTTCGAGCTTACTACAAGCAGGATGACATGCTTATCTACCATGACGACACGAGATCATGCATTTCCACCTTGCTCGACAAAATAGAAATTGACTCTTTCAACGATGAGGAAATTGACTCCATATTTGCAGAAGAAATTGCCACGTCGGCGAAATATCGGGATGTTCACGAAGTTCCGTACCTCCTCGCCATGGTCAAAGATATTTTTGGCTTTATCAGCTACGCCTTTCACTCTCAGAGGATCCCAGACAAAGCCGAGCAGCTTATTCTTGAAGATTATGAGGGAATGCCACTTGTATGAAATTCTATTTTTGTACATATCTGTTTTGATATGTTGGAGTTTAAAATGATTGTTGAACGTTATAGAGGATTAGATTTTTTTAAAACTATTTCCACTGGAGAGTCTAACCTCTCTGCAAGTAACGCTGTCTTCACCTGCGACCCTAAACCACCCGAAGAGGAAGTGAAGGTGAGCTTTTGGGTCAGGGAGGCGACACCACATTTAGCCAAGGTACTCTTCCCTACCATCTCTCGACTCAACAGGAATATGGACACGACCACTTGGAGGATGACACATTCGATAAGGTCAGGTCAAGGTCATGTCTGTTTCTGTCGCATTCCTAAATCTGGTGTGGCGGCCTTAAAACCGCCCGCTGAATTTAATTACTATTTTGATGAGTTGGTGTTTCGGGTAACTGAAACACCCCTTCAAAATTAACTTCGCGTCATAACCCTCACTCACAATGACTAACAATAACATCACAAATAATACACCATCACACTCATCTACATCTCTTCGAAACGGGTTGTCATCATTCAATATGACAACCAAAAGTGTGAACTTGGTGCAAATTAACTTGCAACACTCAAAACAGGGTACGACTTCTCTATGTCTCACCCTAGCAGAGTTGCACACATACATTTGCCTAATACAAGAACCGTATTGGTATAGAGGAAAAATACGAGGTCTGGGGGGTTGTGGCAACCTACAATTTTTTTGTCGGGATGCCCACTCCAGCAGATCCTGTATTATCACAAGTAGGGATATCAAAGTGTGGCCCTTGCTTGACTTATGCTGTAGAGACGTCACAGCCATCCGTACCCAGTGGGTGGGAATTGGAGAGGTAGTGATAGCCTCAGTATATATGGACAGAAACTATGCATGCCCCCCAGAGGAGATGTGTCGGTTGGTCTCATACTGTGAGACCAACGGTCTACCTCTGGTGATAGGGAGTGATACCAACGCCCACCACACCATGTGGGGAAGCACCAATATCAACAGCAGGGGTGCACAACTATTGAACTACATCACACAGGTGGATCTGCACCCCATTAATAGGGGACACAGAGCCACCTTTGTTGTATCCAATAGGAAAGAAGTATTAGATGTCACTTTTGTATCCTCCCACTTGCTGGAACGAATAAAAGCTTGGTGGGTCGATGACAACGAAAGTTGCTCCGACCACAGGTATATTAGGGCCAGCCTCAGCCTTGGTCCCCCTGACCCTATAATCTATAGGGACAGGAAGAGAACAAGGTGGGACTTATACAAATCAGAATTAAAAAGATTAACGGAACTTGACCCTGCGAGTACATGCCCAGTGTCATCTACGGATGAAATTGAGGAGTGTGCTAGCAGGGTCTGTGACTTCATCCTTAAATCATACGATGTGGCCTGCCCTGAAAAGGTACTCAAATCTAGGAGGAAGAGGGTACCTTGGTGGAGCCGTGAGCTGACACTTCTTCGGAAGGAGGCTCGTAGGCTTTATCGGGTTGCCCGCTTCGGAGGAGAGGAAGAATGGGCGGAATACAAAGCTGCTCGTAACCATTACTCCTATGAGTTGAGGAGGAGCAAAACCGCCTCGTGGAGAAGGTTCTGTGAGAGTGTTGAGGAGGCACCTGTTGCTGCCCGACTTTCTCGCATCCTTTGAAACGATGGCACCATCAAATTAGGATCACTGGATAAGGGTGGCGGTGCTTACACCAGGACCCTATCAGAGACCTATGATTTATTACTGGATCAATCGTTCCCAAGGGACCCTCAACGGGTCCCATGGGAACCTGACCATAGGAAAATGGATGATGAATCCATAAATCTGATGATGACATCTTCAAAAATCAGCAATATAATTAACTCGTTTGGCCCACTAAAAGCGGCCGGAAAGGATGGTATCTTTCCGGCCCTTCTACAGCGTGGGCTAGCAGAGCTAATTCCGTATTTGGTTCCTCTAATGAGGGGGTGCCTGACCTTTGGTTACACACCTCTCAAATGGAGAGAGTCCAGAGTGGTATTCTTACCAAAGCCAGGAAAGGAGAGTTACGAAAGGGCGTCCGCTTGGAGGCCCATCTGCTTAACATCCTTTCTGCTAAAAATACTCGAGAAATTGGTAGATGGCTGGGTCCGCACGCCTGCTCTTGTAGACAGACTGCAGAGACACAGTCAGTACGCTTATATGAAGGGCGTCTCCACAGAGGCTGCCCTTCATCAGATTGTTAGCCTTGTTGAGGGGGCCCTTGACTCTGGCGAGTACTGCCTTGCAGTGATGCTGGATGTGAAGGGCGCTTTTAATGAGGTTAGATCAGATTCTATTATACGCAGCCTTAGGAGGTTTGGCGTCAATGAGGTATGTATTCGTTTTATTGAGCACATGCTTCGGACACGAACCACTTGGGTAACTGACTATTGGGAGGGTGGTGGAGAGAGGGTGCCGTCAAGGGGGTGTCCTTTCACCACTTCTCTGGGATCTTGTCGTGAGTGAAATTCTTGAAAAAATGCATCTTCGTTTCCCTCAACTGTACTCACAGGGCTATGCCGACGATCTCACAACTGTGGGGCGGGGCATTGACCTTGGTACTGTGGGGAGTCATATGCAGAGGGCAGTAAATCTTGTTAGTGACTGGTGCAAAGAGGTGAGCCTGTCAGTCAATGACAAGCTTGCCCTAGTACTATTCACTAGGAAGTACAAATTCACTGCTCCTGTGATCAAGGTGGATGGTATTCCCATCCCTTATCAAAAGCAGGTAAGATATCTTGGGGTCTTATTGGATCACAAGTTGAATTGGGGCCCACTATGCAGGGCTAGGGCACAAAAAGGTTTGCGAGCCCTGGCCCAGTGCAGGAGGGCCATTGGTAAAACTTGGGGTCTTTCCCCAAAAATCACAAATTGGATCTACAAATCCATAATTCGCCCGGCCATGGAATATGGGTCACTATTGTGGGCTCCGGCTACACAGGTGAAGTCCCACATGGCCCAGCTGCAAAGAGTACAAAGGTTTGCCATGCTCGGTACAACCGGTGTAATGTCTAGCACTCCTACTGCAGCCCTGGAGTGTCTACTGGGGCTTGCCCCAATGGATATCCGGGTACAGCAAACACTACGTACCTACCATCGCCTCGCTCACCACGGCCAATGGAGAAAATGGTCTGGGGGTGATCGGACGATGGTGCTAAAACATAACAAGTTTGTAGAAATCATGGCATCTGGCATTCCTGAATTCCAGATGCCATGTGAGAAACTTGTTAATCCACCAGCAGAGGGGAACTTCTCAACCTCCATCTGTTCGGCGCAAGATTGGGAGGATGGTAGCGTGCCCACGGATGCCGCTGATGTGAGCTGTTTTACAGACGGCTCACGGATGGGAGAGAGCTCGGGTGCGGCTTACTACTTCACATACAACAACCTTGTCCAGGAAGCTGTGAGGTGCTCTATTCCTCTGGGATGGGCACCCACGGTTTTCCAGGCAGAAATTATGGGTGTTATCAGGGCTTCTGAAATGTTGACCGACAATTCTCAGAACTATGGCTTGAACGTTGACTTCTTCATTGATAGTCAGGGTGCCATTAAAGCACTCACTAGCCCATGGCCAGTTTCATCACTGACTGCTGAGGCTATTGAGATGCTAAATCATATTGGGAAGACTAAGAAGGTAACACTTCATTGGATCCCCTCTCACCATGGATTTGAAGGGAATGAAGTGGCTGATTTGTTGGCCAAGGAAGGTACTCTTACTGAGTATCTTGGCCCACAGCCCTCTATTCCTCTTTCCAGAAGCACTGTAATCTCCAGCATTGTAAACTGGGCAAGATTGCAGCATACCAAATCGTGGAAAAGCAGCAAGGGTTGTTTAACTTCCAAAGCTTTTCTCTTTGCCCCTTTATCAGGGCTTAGCAGAAAGCTTTTAACCCTAAATCGAAATAATCTGCGATCAGTAATACAAACCTTAACCGGGCATTGTACTTTAAATGGGCACCTTAGGACAATGGGATTAGTTGATGAGGCCACGTGCCTATGCGGCCGTGGCCCTGAGACTGTATTTCATTTTCTTGGATCCTGTGACAAGTACTGTGCCCTAAGGTTAGAACTCTTTGGGAGGCACGGTTTGCCACCAGAGCAAATAGTTACTATGCCTCTGCCCGATCTGATTCAATTTATAATCAGATCAGGGCGGTTTGTTGATCAAGTTAGATCGGTAAATCGTGAGAGTCATAACTCTGCACAGTAAGCGGTGTATACGGGGAGACTGCAATAAGCCCTAGTGCTTGCGCAGCTGACGGTCCAGTCTAACAATGGCAGGATCGTCACCCCACCAATACATACATACAACGCTGTCTTCATCATTCTTTATTTTTTGTGACAAATCGTACTTTGATATGCTAACATAAATTTAAAGAAATGCTGATTTTTTTAAGGTTATATTTTTAAATGTAAATGCGTACCATTCTTATCATGACTTGATATTGTTACATGTACAAATTGCTGAAACGCTTATCTGTTCAATATAAGTGATTTGGATTATAATTGGTACTAATTTTTCTGATTGAGAGCATGTATTTATATAAAAAAAATTCTGGACGCGATAATAAATAAATAAATATTGAAATTAATAGAGTTAAATTAAATTAATTAACTCACATCCTTTACACTCTAAACAAAATCGCCACACTCTTAGCAAACTGGTAATAAAATTTCAATAACGATCTTTACCAAGCCCCTGGTAAACACAGTTGTTCTGCAGTGGTAATACATAATACTTATTACTAGGTTTATTACTGTTTGGTAAAGACACGACTTCACGTGTTGGTAATATTCGTTATTACTTATTTGGTAAAGATTTATTATCGCGGAGTGATGGTTTTCAATAATTTGGTAACAAAGATTTTACCGTCATAACATGACGTTTTACCGTGGCGGAATAAATTATTACTGCTCTGGTAACGAAATTATTTATTACCAGAATGGTAATAATTCTTTACCATTCTGGTAGAGTCATATACTTGTACAGCTTGGTAATGATCTAGTAACAATTTTGTTAAGAGTGCATAAGCAACCTCTGCCACAAATTTCAGCTTTCTACGACAATTTTGAAATTTTGGTATGTAAACCTATGTATGGTCACTATATAGCAACCACTCGATAATTTTCGTTATAGGGAAAAGTCGGTGGTTTCTCAACCAATCGACCCAATTCTTGTTCCTCACTATAGTAAAGTGGGGGCGATCTTTCATAAATTTAAATACCCACCTATGCAGGTAGTCTCCTTCATACTTAAACTGCAAAACGCAACCATTTACCACCATCAAAACTTTTTTCTGGGAGGTTGTATCGAAAAATCCCTTTCAATAGCACTAGATTATGTCCGTAATTGATTTTTTGTCTCTATTTTTTTCTCTAAAACGCACCCCCTTGGCTGTAGGAGGCGGTCAAAGTTTTCGAAGGGGGGGGGGTGAACTCATACTAAGGTGTAAATGTAACCATAGTTTTTTTGCCTCACCTTAGAATAATTAATCAGAATTAATGAATCAAATCGAGAAAAATTTACGTGTTAATTATTTTGGAGGTTAGAATCCTCGTTGGTTAATTGATGGTATGTTGGTGGGGTTTAGGTTAGCCTAACCTAACCAAGATTGGGAGATGATGGGGACATTGAATGACGGTGGGGACATTGTCCCCCTGTCGTCGCCCTTCCGCGGCCTCTGCGCCTACCGAGATATTACATATCAATACCACTTTAGTTACATCAAATCCATTGCAGGTTCGCTAAGAATACATGATTTTTATTCGTTTATTTGATTTTTACTCGTTGAATTTAAAACTATTTAACTAATAGAGCATAGACACAACCTGAGATATTATTCGGAACATATATGCATATATTGTTACAAGTAAAATATATAGGTATAAATAAAATAAATAAATAAATAAATAAAAATGTAAATAAAAAAGTTTTGACAAAAAATCTTAATTTTCATGCCACTATGGAGGGGAGCTTCACCACTTGCCACTCACAGAATCCGATGCCCTTTGGATATGTTGTAGTACCCCATGAGTGTACTCAAACCCTGAAACGGTTTGACTCCATGGGCACATTTGCGCCCGCCACACCCACTCAAAGGTGCGAAAAACACGAAAATCATCACCTTCAAAAATTCACCAAAAATCCAATTTTGATCGGATTTCCGCAATTTAAGCATTTTCGTGATCCCAGATAGTTGTTTGATAATATCCGACACCAAAATGATTTTTTTAAATTTTTTGGATATTTTCGAAAATTTTCTGACTATGGGTATGTCTTCGAAAAAATCAAAATTTCAAAAAAGTTGAGTTTGGTATTGGACATCATAAAGCAAGTATCTGAGATGAAGAATATGTAATTTTTTTGAAAATCCGATCAAAATTGGATTTTTGGCGGATTTTTTAATGAACCAAAACAGGGTATTTTTCGTGTTTTTCGCACCTTTGAGTGGGTGTGGCGGGCGCAAATGTGCCCATGGAGTGCCCTCCTAAGCTTAATCACACACTGTGAACAAATTTGAGTAAAATTTACAAAATTGAGTTAAATTGGCACCAATACCACATTTGCGTTAAGATTACCCAATAAAAGTTTAAATTTATCCAACTTTGGCAGATTGTTGTTCAACCTTGAGTAAGTTTTTAACTTGGCGGGGTAAATTTTACTCAATAGTTGTCCCGGTAGCAATTTCACTCAACTACGGTGCAGACGTTTTCAAATATAAACATGATTGTTTGGGGTAGAAAAAGCAATCAGTTTCGCATGTTAAGCGTTCCCATTGGACAGCCTTAACTTGAGTCTATTCTTGTACTCGTGGATGAAAATGATGGAGGAAATGTCAAACATAATCTGACAATTGTCCACTTTCTCAATTAGCTTGGCATATTTTTCATCCCCATAGTAATATGTGAGCAGGCGGTTGATCGCGACATGTCCAATGGTTCCGATGACCATGAATTTATTCCAGTATTCCAAAAGTTCCACGTTATCCTGGAAATAAAGTTTTAGCAACGTTTACACGTTTTTATTTTAATTTTTGTGATGCAGAATCTTGGAGATGCGGTATGAAAATGATACCAAGCGGTATTCACATACCAAAGTGATAGCTCGGTATTAAAGTTCAATCATATCGATAAAGCAAATTTGTAACCCAAAAAATATACCGAAATATCAATACGTAGATACGTTACCACACCAAATTTCTTTAATATTGGCAATTATTAAATCAAAGGGTCAACATGTAAATTAAAAATTTCAACCGCTTACGTTCAACACACCGTCGACCAGGTTCAGACTGGCTGGAAAGAATGGTAACTTGAATACCACAATACCGTAAAGAATCCAGGCATAGTTGTCATCTTGATGATAAACACAAGAAATTGCTTATTTATATTTGCAAACTTTGTAAAATTCCCGGTTGACCTTAAACCTTAAAGTGTTGAGTAAATATATAAATTTGTTTGGATAATGTCATTACTATCGAGTTGCACGGATCTACCGTGTACAAAAAGGCCACTCATCTTGAATGGAGCGTGCACGCGCTTTTACCAACTTTTACACGGATTGATGTGAATTTTAAACTTTGTCCTAGACATGTGAAATTTGGCATGCACCTGCACCAACATATGCTGCATCATAATATACACATCAATTCCCGTTCCCTTCGCTATAAATTTTTCAGATAAAATCAAAAACCAAATCAAATGTCAAATCCAATTAAAGTGTGGTTTTAAGAAAATTATAACTCGGCACTGGGAAACTCCGCTTTCGTAGATGCCTTCCACAAGAGTACGGGGAGGTTATAAAAGGTCAAAAGGACTCCTCCCTCTTAACACTGCAACGGGGTGTGGTCAGACAAGCGGTGAGTTTTTTATCCGTATTTTTCTCGTTTTTTAAACACAAAGCTCGCCATACCTTATTAAATGAGTGTCACACTCAAAAAAACCCATCACCCTCAGGGGGAGGAGTAAATATTTCCCAGTCCCGAGGTATAATTTTTTTTGAACCACACTTTAATTGGATTTGACATGTGAAATGATAGGGACGACATTTGGTTTTTGATTTTTCCTGAAAAATTTATAGCGAAGGGAACGGGAATTGATGTGTATAGTATGATGCAGCATATATTGGTACATATGCATGCCAAATTTCACATCTCTAGGACAAAGTTTAAAATTCACATCAATCCGTGTAAAAGTTAGTAAGAGCGCGTGCACGCTCCATTCAAGATGAGTTGCCTTTTTGTACACGGTAGATCCGTGGAACTCGACAGTAATGACATTATCTAAACATTGTATATTTACTCAACACTTTAAGGTTTAAGGTCGACCGGGAATTTTAACTAGATTTTATTTTTTTCCAGCAACCAGAATACGCAAATCAATTGGAACCATGGCGCTGTCGTATTTGTTTAAAAGATTCTTGGAAACCACGATTATAAACCAAAATAATCGTGTCGTTAGACGATTATTTTTATTGCGAAAAATAATCTAATCGCCAATGGAGAAATTTGGCCCGATTATATTCGAGAATCGATTATAATCCACATAATCGACAAGCTAAACTACCTTTTTATGTGCCGTAAAAAGTCAAATAGTAGCCTTGCTCAAATAGTAGCTTGGATCTATTAATGTTGTAGCCGGGTCCCAGCTACCAATTTTGTAGCTGGGACCCGGCTACTATTTGAGTTTTTACGGTATAATAGTGACAAAGATAAATACAAAATTTGGTAATCCTAATTTTCAAAAATCTTGCCAGGTTAGTAAGACAAAGTATGAATAGTGAAATTTCCTAATGAAATTTATGTAAGCAATTGTACATAAATATCCGTATAGAAAGTTGAGGCGATCACCTCAATAGCAGGTTTCCTAACAAACTTACAGTTCGGAGATTAAGGATAACAAATCGATTAAATATCTTTTACACATACATAAAATATTGTAAATATTGTCTTACACAATTCACTCTGGGAATCACATCCCTTTCCCGAACACCATTCTGGATCAATCATCATCAAGGCAAAAATTCCGAGCCCGATAAGATGTCCGACTGACGATATCTGCGTTTTATTTAAAACTTATCAAATTATGAAATACTCTACTATGTATCTTACAAAATTTGGTACCACGTGAAATGCAGCGACTATGTAGACCAAAATTTCTGGAGTCTCATCATTTCCCAAAATTTCGAGCGATCCTTCACTATCCATGGTTGGTATTGGAGTGTAATGCAATGTTTTTAGGATGGAGAACTACCCTGGAAAAGTGACTAGGGACCATACCAAGGTGCTCATCGATTCTGTACAATAACTTTTCACCGACTGGTGCTAAATTGAAATGTTAAACATGTCTGGACTTCCAGGTAATTTTTTTTAGATGGTATCAATTTTGAAGAAATTAAAAAACTCGCTAATTAATAAGTTTTGGGAGAGCTTGCCTGCAACTCATTTACAGTTTGGTTTCAAATTTTTTTTTCATTTATGTGTTTATTTAGAAATTATACCATTGCACCCCAAATTTATCTGGGAGGTTCAAGAACGTTTCAAATTGCAATTTAGTACCAGCTAGTTGTTGAAAACTTATTTTGCGTTTAAGGCCAACTCATTTAGAACTCATCGACTACCAATCAATGAGGATATTCATGATTACATCGTGCCGTAACCTAACAATGTATGTCTCCCAACGTATGCTCACATATTTTGACCAAATAAGTGCGTCAATCAATTGAAAATTTAGTAAATATTAGATTTGAAAATGAACCTATCTGCCAATGTGCAGGTTGTGGGGAAATATTTGTACCCGAGGATAGGAGAAAACGAGCCGACAAAATTTGAACTTTCCAAATTTACTGCGCGTTTTCTCCTTTTGAGATGAAAATATCTCCGTCAAATCTGCACATTGGGAGATAGTGGTATTTTAAAATTTCAAATTATTTACTAAATTTGTGGGTAATGTTTCTCGAGCAACACTTGCGCAATTGGGTTCAATTTAGATTTCCAACAATTGTGCACTCCAAATAAATTTGATTAAAATTTGCTCAACCTTGAGTGAAAATCGCACTAACACAACTAGTGGTGTACAATTTAGTCACGGTTGAGTAAATTTTAGTCAACGTTGTAGGAACTTCGCTCAACATTGACTAAAATTTACACCACTAGTTGTGTTAGTGCGATTTTCACTCAACTTTATTGATAGTGTGTGGAATTTACTCAACCGTGTCAGCCTCCTTTTCTTTACTCAACCTGGAGAAAATTTTAGTTAGTTTTATTTAGAGTGTATGTAAATACGTGCGCACCCTGTGCTGTAGTCTTCCACAAGGGCAATCTTTTCTTTACGGAAGGGCACGCATTATTTTTTGAAACCATTATTGCCGAGTGATGCCCATTGTAAAGTTTCAGGTAAAAATCCCTGCCTGGAAATAGGTGGACCAAGAGAACATAATGGAATAAAAAGGTTGAAAAACAACCTTCAGCAATTTCTCGCACAGATGAAACTCAAAGAAATAAAAGTTTAGAGAAGAAGGTAAATAAATACAATGAAAATTCAAGGCTGTCCGTTGAGAAGTCCTGATACAAGAATTTTTATACCTTTACGGGTAACATTCGTTTTATGTACCCCAGTAGATAATAATATTTTATCCAAATATCACGTCTTTATTCATTGGAGTGTACATAAATTGTGTTCTCAGAGTATGTATTTTTCCATTTTTAGCCCGAACCAGGGCTTATGTAATTGTCATGTCTGCCCGTCCGTCCGTCTGTCTGTCTTTCGATAACTCCCGAAGGGGTTTACCGATTGACTTGAAACTTTTACCATATGCATATTGGACAAAGTTAGGAACCGAGTTCGAAGATGGGCGAAATCGGTCCAGAGGTCGACGCCGACAAATTTTCGGCGGCGGCGGCGCCAATTTTCGGGGATTTTTCGGTGGCGCGGCGCGGCGTCCCAATGTTGAAGGAGTAGGAATCAAATTTTTCGGCGGCGGCGGCGCCTAAAATACTACCGGCGTTCGGCGGCGCGGCGGCGTGAGATCGGCGGCGTCGACCTCTGAATCGGTCCAGTGGTTGACCGGTGGGGGTCATATGAGTGGGTGGGGTAGTATGCACCAAAATTTCAAAATTGTCGTAGAAAGGTGAAATTTGGTACAGAGCTTGCTATGGGGTCCTAATGGAAGTGGATTCTTCCTCACTCGTCCACAGATGAGCAGCACAAAATCCCAAGATAACTCTCCTGCTTTGCAACAAAGTTACAAAGTTTTATTACGAGTAAGATATCAGAGAAGGAGAAATCGAGCCGATTGGTATTGGCGTAGGAAGAAGCAAAATTGAAATTCATGAGAGATCATTTCGTGGTTTGGTTTCTCATATCATCTGCATTGCGAATTTCTTACACGTCACGATAAATCAGCTCTAGTGCAAAGTTAGCCTAGCAAAGTCGCACTATAATCAAAATTAAATTTCATTTGATAATAAACCGTTGTAACGTTAGAAGTAGCTCACCCTGTAATAATGATTTTAGCATAATTTTGCACCAATGGTGCAGAATTGGCAGATAAAATAGATACGCAATTTTGGCATAATTTTGCATTAGGGCGGACGAAAGATACACATAATTGTGATATAATTTTCCATCAATGGTGGAAAATAGACGAGGAAAATGCATCCATAATTTTGACATAAAATCGAGACAAATCCGAAGTAAAAATTCTAGTTATTTTTTTCGGTTCCTATGCACGTTTGGTGTGTTTTGCATCTATGTTCTCAAATGTTTGACACCATTTTGTGTCACCGACTGTTCGAGACCAATGGTGCTACTAATTTGCTAAAATTTGCTCATGGGGCAAATTAATTAGCATCAATTGATGCACAAGAGTCGTAAACAGACAGACAGACGGACGGACAGACGGACAGACGGACAAGAGGAATTCAATAGCTCCCGTGCTACGCAGGGTGAGCTAATAACGAGTTGCATAACAATTTGCATAATAATAATAAAGATACATGGCTGATCTGCTATAATGGCATCCAGCTTTCTTTCATAAGGAAGTAATGTGCACAATTCTTCACGAGGAGCGGATTAGAAGTGGTGTTGATGATAATGATGATGAGATAAGTTTGAAAAAAGATGAATGGCCCCCACTTTCCACACCTATCACCTCTGTTCTTTGGGAAGCACGTAGCAAGGAGCAGATTTATTGCTGCTTTGCTGCCACTTCTTCTTTCGCCGTCTTTTATTTTCTCTACTTTACTTTCTTCCATCCCTACTGACTGAGCACCTGTTACGCTTTTTCCCCAGTGTACGTACATATCTGTGTCGGTTCTGCTGGAATATCTCTGAAGGAGAAGAAGAAGAAGGCTTGTTTTGATTAGCTACTGTTACGTCCGTATTTCGCATGATATACTCGCCATCTAGCCCCCCATCCTATGAAGGAATAACGGCGAAGCGTGGTTTCTCGCACGGTGCATTTCTTGCAGGTCAAAATAACAAAAATTTTCGCAAATAGATGCAGGAAAACACTTGATCTCCGTTATTTCTTGCAACTTGCTACTTTCCCCCGAAACACTGCTTTCATCACAAACAACTACCAAGAACAGTACTTACTTACTGAACCACTTAATAAATCCTCTCCTGAAAGAGTAGCATATGTACTTATAAATGTGGTTGGTTCGTAGCGGATAAATTATTAAGGAGTGAAGGAACGAGGGAATGAATTATATATACATTTTAGCTCATCAGCTCAGTTGCAGTTGTATTCACTTTCCTAGAATTTAGTTAAATTACGTACAATGCGATGGATGAATGGCTATATAGTTCCATCATTGTTTTACTGCTGGCAAAATCGTGCTTGAAAAATGTGCAAAAATTTCTGCATGTGATGGAATATAACCAGAAGGGGAGGACATTTTATACATAAATGGATTCACTCCATCAAGAGAAAATAAGAGAAAAAATAACAGGTAGATGAAGTATGTACACAGGATTGTAGTTGTTCTGAGTACTTTAATTTTACTTTCTCCAGACTAAATAAAAGCAGGGATGGGATAAAAGACGGTGAAAGTCCGTACTTGTAAAACTGGTGTGGAGTACTTTTTTAGCGTAATAAATTTCGCGTGCAATAGAATATTGTGCTGTTTCGTCAAAAAAGAGTGTTGTCCATTTCAAGAACATCGATTTACGGGAACAGAGGCCTCCAGAAATGAGACTTCTCTAATTTCATAACCAACTTCGATTCATCTATATTTGAACTGCCTGATTTACTATTCAACCGGTGTGTGTGCAGCGGACCATAACCATTGTCAATTTTACTTTGGAGAGAATGGCACAAAATTAATAATTTTTGCTTGATTTACATACTTCCACTTTATAAATACTCTGTGTCTGCCACAATATTCTTCAGACCTCATGGAGGAAGGATGTAAAATAAATAAACGACAATTACGCTTAGTAAGGATTTTTATGGAATGAAACACAGCGCGGTTCTAATTAATGAATAATTACAATTGCTCAAACTCGTCGTACCATAACAAATGAAACCGAGTAAAACCCAGAGCCTTATTTAGCAACTGGATATCAAGTGGGATTTATAACAGTTTGTAACACCCCTTTTCGTGAACGAATAAAAGAAAAATCAAGCATAGTGTAACCAGTGACCATGCCGGGTTTTACAAAGGTTTTATGTTCAGCTGAAATTTGGCATATCTACTCCAAATGACTTCTGCGTAGCAAATACAACTTTGGAAGGTCAAGGATGTGAAAAAAACTTTACATATTTAGTGCCAAGCACTAGAAAATACTTAAAATCAGTCTACCAGCCCCACCACGGGGAGTGGTAATAGTAATACCTAATTTACAAATCCTGCCATCCTCCATTCGAAAATGTATTACAAAATCAATTAATCACTTCATCAAATTACTTTATTTACACATCTGCAAACCTTTCGCTACAAGTAGCGTAATAGTTTCTTTACATTACGTTTCTCTATCAAAATATATAATAAACGATGTTGAAGTGGCATCACTAAACCCTAAGTTACGTATACCGCAAAATGATGACAGTAATACTTTCTCCTTGCTGTATTTTTATAAAGTGGCTGCCAAAAAGCATTATTAAAAGGTAAAATTGATTCACAATCGTGGTAGCACAACGCTCTGAAAATGTGCTAAATATTGCAATGTGTCGAATTCGTTTTTACAATACAATTGATCCCTGAATTAAGAACTACCCTAACGAATCATTCCTAATTATCTTGTCGCGTACACTTTTAGGTAACTGGTATTAATCTAGCATAAGTCATTACGGGCTCCCGCATGTTGAGGAATGTTAAATTTGTCTAGTAAAATTGGAGAACGTATTTTGCTTAATTTTTGTAAGACTAGCCGCACTAAAATCTTCACCAAAAATCCAATCTTGCTCGGATTTTCAAAAAAAGTTTTTGATTCTAGATAGTTGCTTTATCATATCCATTAGCAATCTCAACTTTTCTAAAATTTCTACTATTTTCATGTCATACCCTTGTTCAAGAAATTTTCGAAATGGTAAATGGTAAACGACTAATAGTTTCAATAACAACTGCCCGATTTCTTGACAGGGTTGTTGTGTGAACTGCATGTGCACAATGGTGACGGAGGATATGAAGCTGGATGAGCATGTATTATATATATACATACATTATACATATATCATGTTACATATATAATGTATTAAATATATTACATGCATCATTGCATACCGTGGTATGTCCTAGGGACAAAAATAATACTAAAACTAATTTTGATATAGCAGTATAAAGAGGTAATTTTACACATTTTCAATTTACTATAGACTAGCTTCGCCCAAAACGGTACCTGGTCCTGACATAGTTGTCAGGAAACCAAAAACGCTCTTACACGTGTCGAATAAAATCAAAAATTATTGTACACGTGTACGAGGGTTTTTTCTCAAAGTGCCCCAAATTTTTCATATTGCCCCAACTGCTAGGAACTCTGATTGTGACGCTACTAGAATGCCGATTTTCTCCAAACTTGGCATGTGATCCTCATTTAGGATCGGTCAGAGCGTTCCAGACGATTGACAGTCTAGGATGAAATTGGTAATACCGACTACCTGAAATTTTTGACAATTTTTTCAGTTTTTTCAAAATATCTCAAAAATTTATGAAATGGTATCGTTCTAGCTTCATATCTCTACAGAAACCCTATATTCTGCTTCGAATGCCGCCGGACTGAACCTCATGGCTTAAATATTAAGGGTACTTTGTAGGGCAATCAATTCTAAAAAACACGTTCACAAGAATTATGAAGGGCCATTACAACAGAGGGTCTTAACTTTTGGTTGCGTTAATGCCACGGTTAGCCATGTTCCACACAGGTGCAAACCACCACCAAGACTAAGCGATGTTCTAATCTCCTTGGGCAACATTGCCACATCGTGAGGGACAGATTGACAAATTTAAGCCGATCTATGTTAAGTGATGCCAGATTGTACTTCCCGAATGTAATCTGGTGTGACCCGTGCACGGTTTGCAGAAAATGCTGGGCATATTTAGTCAAGGAAGTGAATTTCAGACAAGCTGCAGCAGTTAATTTAGGCACTAGGTTAATTTAGGCACTAGGTAAATTTAGGCACGTACATTAAGGTGAAACGCATTGATATGTATTATTTAATACCAAGACGATTATAATTGCTTGCATGGAAAGTAGCCTTTTATTGTAAAATATGACACGCATGTGCAACCGCAAATTACTCCTTTACAATTTGCTAGGCAGATTGTCAATTTGATCGGCTGGAAATTCGTAAAGACGACCGGTCTTAGTGTTTGGTGGTTCCTAAGGTATAAATAGACTTAGTGTACAAAGAAATTGAAGCTTAATTAAGTCATAATCTATATATATACCAGCTTTAAGAGTAATTCCAATCGCTGAAATGTGTCATGCTTTTCTGAATCCGGCCAGAAAAAACCCTTTCCTTTTTTTCTCATCATCTTCAGAGTTACAAGATCCTGATCTTCAGCAATCCCTTGCACAATTCCAATTTGGTAAGAACGCCTAAATTTCACTCCGTAATATTCGCCTAGCTGTACCTCGGTTAAAGTGGGTTCAATGGTTAATTCACCACTGTCCGGGTCGCCAACCGTCACAATCGTTTTAGGTTTGTAAGCAATTTTGCATTCGAATTCCTCCATCGTTGAATACCGATACATCCTCAATTCGTGATTATTCACGGGGACAAATCCATGCATCTTCTGAGTTCCAACGATTGTTTTGACCAGCGCGTAACGTCCACAACTGCTTGTCTGACGAGATCCACCTCCTTCTTTGGAACGTAGAAGAATCTCAGCTTTTCGGTTGTTAAATTGCGTTCAGCTACATCGAACATTGCACGAGGGTTAGTAATTAGTTCTCCCTTCAGACTAGCTAATCTTATAAACCGTTTTACAACGGCAGACATGGCATCACTGGTACTGCAAGAAATAAGATGCTTATTGAAAAATGTTTTGGTTTAATGTAATACTATTGTAATAAATCTTTACTTTTTGCCATGTGATGTTTCAGTAAAGTGCCACTCAACATGGATTCCGTAGTCTTCGAAGTGAAAGAGCAAGTTCAAAAGATTGGAAGTATTTTTATACTGAGCAGCTGCAAAAAAATGGACATTTTATAAATTGACCATAAAAAATTTTATAACTGCTAACTGCACCTGTTCCATCGCTGATGTATATAATTTTTTGCATTCTTGGGTGATTCAACTTCAACTGCTTCATGATTGCTCCCCGAAAGGCATGAAATGTGGCAGCGTCATGTTTCATATCGTCCGAGATAACGAAGTAAGTTTTGTAAACAACTTTCGCCTCTTCTCGACTCCAGAAGTGGGCCACAAATGGATGTATTGTAGCTTGCTTGTTTATCCAATGGTAGGATTGGATTGCGTCTTGTATAACGAAAGTATAGTTTTGTCCAAAATCAGCGCTTATCATAACAACACTTTCGTCTAGGAGTGTCTCCGACTTCGTTTGTGAAATGAATAGTTTCTGCATTGAGTTGATGTAGTCGTGGAGGATGAGTCTTGGGACAAATGCTCTAAAATTTTCTTCGAAATCTATTTTTGATTCAGTTACAAAACGGAGATCCGTGGAATCCGTTTTTGACCATGAATAGTAACTGACATCTTCATCATCATCCAGGATGGCCAGTAGCGATTGCATTTCATCTTCAACAGGGCAATTCGGGCAGTAGCCGAAAAGGCACTCATTTGTTGTTTCCCTGCATAAGACAGCAGATACAAAGATTTGCTATCAGAGGTTATGTTGGCTAGATAACAAAGCTTTTCTTCAGTTTCTTTCTCGGAAATTTCATCATGGTCTTCTCCAGTTTTCTTATTAATGCCATTACTGAAGATTTCCATCATTAACCGAAAATTCTTATGCTTTTCGCAGGTGCAGCTTCTGTGGTGACCCTTAGCCCCGGGCCACCGGCACTGCGGCGGTCTTAGCGTGGCAAATTTTGTGAGCCCAATTTTCATACCACCATTTTTCAATTCATCTCGATACACTGCTTGGAACTCAGCATAAAAGTCCCCCAAGTTGTTGAGTATCATAAGCTTCGCCACCCTTTCTTTTCCGTTCTCGGTCTTAATCATAATCGTGTCGTTTGCTCGTGGACTGATCCTGGAATTGTTTTCATCCAGGTAGAAACGCTTGACTTTCTCCTCTATTTCTATGTCTACCTTCCTGCCTCTTTTGTTGAAATTTGGAGTAGAGAACGGCCCGTCCCTTGCACGCAGTTTGGAAGCCGCCTTTGCCAGTCTAAGTCCAATCCCAAATTCTTCCATCATTCCAGTAATTGAGACATGCTTGGGGAGGCACATGAGCATCCGATACTTGTCCTCGACTTTCGATGATAGCAAGATTTTGTGCTTAAGTCCTTCAACAAGTTCGGTACATGCAAAGCATGGATTTGAAAGTTCCGTTATTTCAGATTCCACATTAGAAACTTCTAAAATTTTGTTTGTGAGTTGAAATAGCCTTATTTGAACTTGCTTGTGGCTTTTAAAAGTTCTGGATGTGACGGGAGATATTTGCAGTGGCTGAAGACTTTGGCTTATGATATCTCGCTTAACTTTTTTTGCGCTCCTCGGGGATGACTTGGAATAGCTGCTATGCATGGAAACTGTTGTCTCCACAGAAGAGCACGAGTTGTTGCTATCACTGCCATCCTGGATACATAAACAAAGTTCACTCTCAACATGTAAGTTCGATGAGGTTCTTAATTGGAAGGATGGGATTAAAAAATTGAAATTGTCACCTTATCTAAAAAATCATGCTCCTCTGTTTCGTTACGACTGGCTTCAGAGATGCATAATTGGGACTCACTCAGAGTAGCTGGGTGACCCTGCACTACCACATAATATCTTCCACTGCTCGAATTGTCAGATGTAGAAGGCTTAGAGTCCAAGCTTGGATGTTCTGTTCCACCCTATATTGACGTTAACCAATTTAACACAAAAATTATCACCTGTATTCTAATTATAAAAAGTTTATATTATGCTGTACAATAGGGTCGATTCTGCCAACGTGTGGTGCCGTTGTTCGTCTATTCGTAGTTACTACAACTGCTGCAGCTTGTCTGAAATTCACTTCCTTGACTAAATATGCCCAGCATTTTCTGCAAACCGTGCACGGGTCACACCAGATTACATTCGGGAAGTACAATCTGGCATCACTTAACATAGATCGGCTTAAATTTGTCAATCTGTCCCTCACGATGTGGCAATGTTGCCCAAGGAGATTAGAACATCGCTTAGTCTTGGTGGTGGTTTGCACCTGTGTGGAACATGGCTAACCGTGGCATTAACGCAACCAAAAGTTAAGACCCTCTGTTGTAATGGCCCTTCATAATTCTTGTGAACGTGTTTTTTAGAATTGATTGCCCTACAAAGTACCCTTAATATTTAAGCCATGAGGTTCAGTCCGGCGGCATTCGAAGCAGAATATAGGGTTTCTGTAGAGATATGAAGCTAGAACGATACCATTTCATAAATTTTTGAGATATTTTGAAAAAACTGAAAAAATTGTCAAAAATTTCAGGTAGTCGGTATTACCAATTTCATCCTAGACTGTCAATCGTCTGGAACGCTCTGACCGATCCTAAATGAGGATCACATGCCAAGTTTGGAGAAAATCGGCATTCTAGTAGCGTCACAATCAGAGTTCCTAGCAGTTGGGGCAATATGAAAAATTTGGGGCACTTTGAGAAAAAACCCTCGTACACGTGTACAATAATTTTTGATTTTATTCGACACGTGTAAGAGCGTTTTTGGTTTCCTGACAACTATGTCAGGACCAGGTACCGTTTTGGGCGAAGCTAGTTTATAAAGAATAACTAATTAAGTAACTTCAAGCTTAAATTGAAATACAATCAATTTAGAGGAGCTCATGCAAGGGCATGTCGACCCTGTTTGGTGTGCTGACGGGGTGTGTAATCCATTACTCAAATACACAAAGTCCCTTTAGACACCGAGTGCAGTTACGGAATCTATGTAGACATTATTGAATCAAAACTTCATTCTAAATTCTACTTTAATTTTGGTTAAAAATAAACCAGGCTTTCTTAACACTCAAAAAATCCACTTTCTCCTTCGTCAAGCACCATACAGAGTACCACATCGTCGCCGTAGATCCATAAAGTACCAGGACGAACTCTAAAAGCATTGGTCCTGGATCTACGGCGACGATATGCAGTAAATAATAACGACGACAAACTCTGTTTTACACCAGCATCTAATACTAGATACTGGAACGACGGTTGTGTATTTTGGATTGTGTTCCCCTTCCCTGACGGTATGACGCGGTAAAAATGTCATGGAAACAACCATTTTCCCGGATCTATCCGTCGCTATCTGGCACACAGCAAATCAATAATTTTCCACACTCCAAATCCTACAGATCTGTGTATTTCCTTATGTGGTGTCACTTTGCCGTGTGGTTAGACCAGGACAACTCACAGGGAAATCTATTTTTAACACGTTTTTGCCAGGTAGATATAGATTGAAATCCCTTCTCTTCTTAGTCAGACCTTCTTTCACACTTGTCGGAAATATTAAAAGTTTACACAAAATACTAAAATATTTCGTATCAATCAAAATAATAGCATGGACCCTGGTAAAAGAAAATTCGGCTTCACGCCAGAAATGGAGAATGGCGTGGATCGATCGCTCTTCATGTTCCTGGCTGTACTTCTGATTTCCCTGCTAATGGCGTACTTTGAGTATTCAGAGTGGGTGGTATTCAGTAAGTTAATGGAAGTTTGAATTCTATAAGTATCTTCAGAAGATATACTCAATTGCGGAATATTGCAGACGATCATTCCCCATCAAAACCAAGAGTGGACAATGCTGTCCCATATTCACTAAGGGGCCAATTTTACGAAAACCAGGGTGGATTGGATTTGTAAACTTGGGCTAAATTCGTGTGTTCAACTAACGACGTCAAATATATTTCTTACGCCAGAATTTCAGAAATATTCGTCGCTTGGTAGCATATTAATCATGCAATCAATCGCTGCATTTTTTTATTATTAGAAATAGAAACTTTAAATCTCTATGCAATCTCTTTCTCCCTTTGCGAATGGAAGTGACTTTGTGTGTGTTGAGATTCACAGCAATACTTTCCACTCACTGAACTCAGTTTTTTGCTCTTATGTGCAGGTACGCTGGCACCTGGCTTCACGCTGCGTTATGCGAAACATGCATTTGTAAACGTTTAATAACATCTCTCTGCACAATGCATTATTGCATTCGTCTTTTGGTGCAATCATGCACTTACTTATGTATGTATATACATTATTGTGCATTAAACTGCAGATTTCTAATTCTTTCAAGTTGGAATCAATAAATCGTCTACACTTTCTATTTGTGAATTATGTTCATTTTTCCTTAGCAAACAAAATTCTTTAGCATTTACCTCTGACATGATTATGTTTTCAGCCAAGCCATAGCGGGCCCGCCATAATCATTGATATAATTATTATGGCTGATAATTTGAGACAACATATGGGGTTTTGGTAGACCAGTTCTACCCACCTATTAAAAAATGTTTACTTTAAGTTCTAAGCGAATCGCGTTAATAAACTGTTTTGTATTTGTGTCATAGAGACAAAAATTTCTTAGTCTGGCCAATCCTTTAGTGATGTTTATAAATATTTGATATCCTCTTTATTGTGAATATGCCTCTATAAATTGATATGCCTTCGTCCTTATTACGCTGATCCGACCCAGAAAAAAGTGTGTTCGGATGAATAACAAATGAGCTCGGATCAAAAAGTGTACTCGGGTAACTTCACGCTCGCTCGGATGTTCGCATAATTTCACGCACTTGAAGTAAACACATGTTACTGATTCTTATTAATTTCACAGGCAGAATAAATTGCCACTTTCTACTTCAATTAAATCATAATTAATTAAACTAGTCGAGAGCATGTCTCCCGTTAAGAGTTGCCTTTTCTGTCCACAAGTTCCAACTTCTTTCACTAATTTTCAAGAAAGTAACGATCCGATTAAAAAAACGATTAATTTCCTCGCTAAAATTCTGTCCGTGGGGGATCATCTGCTTGGCGACGTGAAGAATCTGATCAGAAACGGGGGCACGACCAGTTTCTGTTCCCAATGCGCCTTAATTATCTCCCAAGTGGGCCACATTTATAGAAAATTGGCACCATTAATTGACAAAATTGAGCAGAATTTAATATCTAAAGGTGATCATTTATTTATTTAATGTCTTAAAATTGTTTCCTAAAAATAATTAAAATATGTGACGCGATTTCTTATGCTCAGATAGGTTTCCTAAAAAATATATAGTATCATATTTCTGTTCGATATTTAACAATGTTACTTATTAAAATAGCTTTAAACATAAAAAGTTCATTAATTTTTTTATGTAATATAGGTCAAATTTTGGTAAAAGAGGGAAGTGAGGGAGAGGAAATCGCCGTGAAATGTGAAGTGGAGGAGGGAACGCATATTCAAGACGTATTGGAAGATGACGATGACATGGACGATGGACAAGGTGATGCCGCATGGTCACCAATACGTGGGATTTCTCACCACAAAGAGGAAGAGGAAGACGGGGAACCTGGACGTGATCCATTGGAAGACGATGTCGATCCAAGGTGCATATTATCAAGGAGGCTTCCTTGCTACCAGTTCATTTTCGAGAATATTCCGTTGCGTACCAGTTACACACAATTGTGTAACAATTTTTTATCATTTGACAACCGCAAGCGATTTTTCGAAATATAACTTTCCCTACCAATTACGCATTTGTGTGACAAAATTATTTCTGTTGGCTACCAATTACGCCGGAGATCGTTTTCCATTGCGTACCAGTTACACAAATGTGCGTAATTAGATCAGGGATTTCAAGAAATCTGGTGGTCCATGGAAATTTATCAAGTTGTAAAATGCCGGAAAATGTAAAATCTCCTAAAATACCTTGGTAGCTAAGAGAAATAATTTTGCTACGCAAATGCGTGTAATTGGTAGACAAAGTAATTTTCTGAAAAATAGTTTGTGGTAGTCAAGTGATAAAAAATTGTAACACAAATGTGTGTAATTGGTAGCCAAGAGGTTAAAACATTTAATTACTTAACTAAAGATCAGCATAATTTGTACACAGCTCTCCCACTGCCTCGCCAAAATCTTCTTCTACTAGTCCACCACCTGCCAAGATTAGGAAAATTTTGTCCTCCGAACCCACCCAATTTGACCACACAGAATCAAATTCCGGAACTTGTACCATTTGTGGGGAGAACTCGGAGGATTTTCTTCTTCCTCGAGGTAAATATGAAATATTGATGTAGCTATATGTTTATGGGCCCGTCCATAAATTACGTAACGCAAAAATCGCCATTTTTTAGACCCCTCATTTAACAGAAGTATGAATAGCGGCGGATTCTTCTTATACCTCCTCTTGCTTTACGTAATTTATGGACGGCCCCTTAGTTATGCTCTTGGGTAGAGGCTCTATCCTCTGTATAATTTGCGAATATCACACATTTATACATACGTAAAATTGTCAATTACTCATAAAAAAACTTTCTCCAGGCGCTCAAAATCACTCCATCGCCCACCAACTAGAACGGTATCAGGACAGAAAACAAGCCGACTGGAGGTGGCCAACTATACAAGAATGTCCCCTCTCCCTCACCTGCTCGTATTCCACGATAAACCCCATCTTCATGTGGAAACATGTCCTAAAAGCGTCACATCGCCCGCAAACCCTCACCTGCCCGTTTGTCGGGACGTCTTCATTCTAAAATCGCTCTACAACGCCCACATCCTGCTCCACGAAACGCAAACTCCCGTCGTCTGCACCATCTGCGACAAAAACAAAACGTTCCCCTCCGGATCTGCTTATCTCGCCCACAAATCCTCCTGGCACTGCAAACCTCGTACCAGAAAAGCCGATCCCCCGCCACCACCGTCACGTCCCCCCAAAATAAAAAAACCTTCCAAACGGGAATGCCCAACCTGCGGAAAAATATACTTTCGCCAGGCCAGATTTCAAATGCATGTCCGAAGCCATCTCTCCATTAAGGAGAGGAGGAAGAAGCCCACATGCGAATTCTGCCCTTTTTCCATCATCTCCTCAGAAAATATGGCGATTCACGTCATCACGACGCACGAGGTGGATCCCAACTTGGGAAAAGTCTGGAATTGCGGCCTTTGTGAGAAAGGATTCGTCTCCAGGGTCGTGTTCCATCGGCACTAACGGTTCCACAAGAAATTCGACAAAAGTGGGAAGACGCTTAAATGTGAGATTTGCGAGTATCCATTTCTCCCAGGGGATGAGGATAAGCTCAAGAAGCACATGAACGAATTTCATGCCAAGAAAAATAGGTTATACGAGATTCACCACTGCACCGTGGAAGGGTGTGGGTTCACCGCTCGGAATAAATTTCAAATCCGACGCCATGAAGGACAGGACCATCCAGAGTTATTGATTTATTCTTGTAACTCATGTGGAAAGTCGTATTCCAGTCACATTCTTCTACAAACACACAATAAAACGCATGGAACTGGTCCGTTTGGTTGTACAGTTTGCAGGACGGTTTGCGAAACAGGAGAAAAGGTATAGATTTGTATCTATTTTTTATCCCATTATTTGCGCAATTCAAGTAGAAGTCTTAATATCAGGCGGTCTGATCCTTACACAAAATATGGGTGGCTTACAATCGCGTGTGTACAAGGTGATGGCCTCGGTTTTTTCTTGCTAATGGGCTGAAAACTTTTTCATTTTACAGAATGGGGCAGAAAAATACAACGAAACTTTATTTTTCTGTGTTTATGGAAGGACATTGAGTATGGGGCTTATCACGTAGCGTATCAATTGTTTAGATAATTTTTTATTTCAATCCTTCCAATAACTCTAGGGCATCAGAAAAATAAAACTTCGTCACATTTTTCAACCCGAATACTATTTCAAATAAAATAGATTAAATAGTTTTCATCCAATTAGCACACTCTAAAAAATATGTAGTAAAATTCACTCAATTTTTGGTGAAATTGCCACCAAGAAAACTATTGAGTAAAAGTTACCAAATAAAAGTTAAAATTTATCCAACTTTGGAAGATTTTTGCTCAACCTTGAGTAAATTTTAATTTTGGCGGGGTAAATTTTACTCAATAGTTGTGTCATCAGCAATTTTACTCAACTATTTTTACAGTGCATTAATTAGAATGAATATATTGTAGTTACATCAAAAATAAAGTGCGGCAAAGCACGATACATAAGTAGCGCAATAATGCTACTGAATGCTGAGAATTAATTTGCGCAATTAATCAATTGAATTAATTAATGATTAATTCATTAATTCATTAGAATTGATTAATTAATCACACCGCGACCGCACCCCCTGACGCCGAGGGGGTGAGGTCCAAAAGTTTACGGGATCCTTCCCCTGGGGTCATGTGTATGATGCCGCAAACCGATTTCGATTATCTTGATGCGTTCTCGAGTTTTAGTGCTGACGGACAGACAGACGGACGGACAAACTAACTAACCGATCGCATAAAGTAGCTTGCGCTACTTAATAAACTTCGGAGCTGGCCACATTACTTGGTAGTCAAATTACAAATTGTACATAACTACAATCACAGCATTGCTTCAATTACAATTACAAATTACAATTACTCAAGAAAACCCAATTACTAACTACAAATTACAATTACTTCTCTTAAAAAAATTCGCTTTAATTACAAGTTACAAAACACATAATTCAATTACAACTCAAATTACTAATTACGTTTGGGATTTCTAAATAACATTAATCATTAATATTAAAAAATTTTCAATAATTTTTCACTTTAAACAATGTAAATGCTCTTACTCCAAAATTACAAAGCAGACAAAAGAATTTATAAGTAAGTTTTGGAATAAGAGCACTTCCATTGTTTAAAGTGAGTAATTAGCGTTGTAATTGAATCACGTAATTGATATTTGGTAGTTATTTTGCTAGACTTGGCTGAAAAGAATTTAGTCATTTTTATGCATAAAGACCAATGTCTCGAAGAATTGATAACCCCTATTTATTTTTACGCTGTATTATGAAAAAAATCAAAAATGCGAAATAAACTTTATTTTAATAAAAAAAGAATCGCAAAGACATTGTCACGTTACGTGAAATACGACAAATTTTACAAAATCTGTGATTTTTGATAGATTTGTTTAATGCTAGATGGTGTTTTAGTAATTGTAATTTAAGAAGTAATTGAATTACAATTAAGCCATGCTGAAATGTGTAATTACAAATAACAAATCACCAATTATGGTTTGCCTACTACATAACCGGACTGTGGATTTTGGGATTTATTGCGACTGGTGTGTCATTAAATTAACAAAGTTTGATGAGTAACTATAGCTGACACATTGACCAACCCTGGTTAAAAACCATTTCCTCCATTCTCCGCTTTCAAGCAGATTTCTCGTAGCATTTTCCAAGCACTGTGGATAACCCGTTTTCCCAACTTTGTGGTCAAACTCTGAATGATTTGACCCTTAATCCGTCCGAATCCCTTCATGTTCTTGGCTGATTTTTATCGCCGTCAATATACTTGTTTGGATAAAGCTCTAATTCGTTCAATTCCTCTCTGTTTCAGAAAATTTGAAGCATTTTACTAGACAGGTTAAAAATCTACTGTTTAGGCCACATTCTGTCTTATAACAATTATCCACCAGAGGAAAGTTGCCATATTCGGCAAAAACGAAATGCCTTGCCGTAATGCCCATAAATGAAGGGACACAGACGCCGTTTACTGCACTGATCCAGATACGCCCCTGAGATCACAGTTCCTTCCGATATAAGGGGCTCAGAAATATGTCCATTTTCGACGTTGGCTAACCTAACAAAGCGTTTCGTGAAGAATCTTTCTTTTTGAATCTCCCTTTCCTCATATTTTATTTAATTGCGAGTATTTGCATAGAAAAATCGTGAAATGGGTGTGTGAAATTTATCAGATGTGAAAAATCTTTCGTCGCAAATGACCAAAAATCTCGATCTAACTTTCGCATAAGTTTTTCATAGTCGTGCTTTGGCACAATAATTTTTATGCTAAGGTATTTTGTACGCTTCTGTTTCTTATCAGTAATTATTCTGCTTTAAATTATCATATCGTGGTGGGGCATAGTTTGGCTTTTGTGGAAGTGGTAGAGTGAGGAGCGGATGACTTCCGTTTGTATCCGCATTCAACAGCCTTCATGGTCTTGGGAGTCTACTTAGAGACCGGGCGTCCGAGAATTTTTTTGATAGATGCAGTTTTTGCTAACTCATACCTCTGCAATACACCGTAAAGAGTTGATTTTGGGCGATATTCACCTGAAAAAAATTGCCACCCTTTTCTTGTAAAAATCGGCGACATTTTCCTAGCAGTGAAAAATTCGAGTTACGAATTCCTAATCTTCGACTCGTGTCATTTTGTGCCAAACGATTGGTCATTAAAAATTAAATTATTTAGTTAAATTATTCGTTCGTTTTCTTACCGAATTAATTTAATTTAGTACAGTCCGGCGATTAAGTAGGCAAACCATAAGTATATACATAAGCTTTGTACATATTATTTTAGAGGATTGCATATATGCTAAGTATGCAGATACAAATTGTGACGAAATTAATTACTGAAATAGGCATAAATTTTTTAGAAGTGAGCACCCTTAAATATATTTCTCGCCTCGGAGTTGCTTCTAAAGGTTTATTAATCTGCCATGTCTGACATGCAAAGGTTAGTTAAATATTTAATGTCCCAGCTACTAGAGAACATACCAGAATATACTCACGGATCGATGACTTGTTAGTTGGAGTGTAACTCACCTCATGGGCAACACTACTGCTAGCTATACAACTAATTGTCATCCGGTGCATGCAATGATTCCAGACTAAAAATAATTCCTCCATCGGGTGGCACATTAATTATGCCACGACCAACAAAATTGGGCGTTCATTTTTAAGAAGAATAGGTAATCAAATCATGTTTACGTCTCAGAAATATTATTAGAGGCGCCTCTGTCTATACTTAACTATATATCGAAGGTAAATTTTTAAGGGAGTGAAAAATTTGGGAAAATTTGACACTTGGTATACTTACTCCTTACGTAATCCAGTTCAATAATTAATACTTTATCTGCGATATATGTAGATACATAACGATGCTTGTTCCGGTACACTACAGAACCTTCCATGGATGGTAAATATGTCAATAATCAATAATCATATGTATTTATCCACTGCTCTGGTCACGTCTTTGGCGATGAATGCACATGGCTGACAAAATCGGAAAATGCTTTTAGACAAATTAGTTTGTGTTATATATGAAAATATTGGACATGCAAGTCTCACAATTTCTTATTTAAGCACTAATAATGTGATGGTGTGAAGTGCAAGTCTCCGGTTTGGATGAAATTTTAAAATTGAGTGGTCCAAATCTATCCAACCAACGTTTCTTCAGGCAGTTTATGCGATGTTTGGGATTCGTCAAAATATTTGAGGTCAAGGTTGAAAAAATGGGCGCCTTTTCCCTATGATAGAAATGGACGTTGAGTTTGCTTACTCCGCTTGAGAAAAATCGCCCATTTTTTCAATTTTGACCTCAAATATTTTGACAAATAATCCCGACCATCGCATAAACTGCCTGAAGAAACGTTGGTTGGATAGACTTGGACCACACAATTTTAAAATTTCATCCAAATCGGAGAGTTGCACTTCACACCATCCCATTGTAAGACCCATAGCGTCAGGACTTATGTGATCGTTGAAATAGTAGATTAGTTAAGAGAATTATTGTATGTGTCTTGGTCTGAAAAGCAGTGTGTAACTGATGATTTGCGACACTTGAATAAACTACAGTAAACAGTAAACTTATCTAAACTTGCTTTAAACGCAGGGCTCTTTTGAACACCATACATTTTCATATATAAAGAAAAACAACTTTCGTATAGAATTTGCAACTTGTTTTCTCGTATTTGGAGAAAAATATAACGGAGTTATTTCGTTTTGTTAAATTTTTCAATTTTTTTTCGAACTAGTCGACTTTTACCGTCTTTTTATAACATTCTATAACATAGCATTTTTAAATTATCTCCGATTTACATATCCCCCATTCTTAAGATGTATTCATTACACATTTTTTTCCTACTTTTTATACTCGTATTAAGACCATCATTTTGCAACATGAAACCCTCCGTCGAATGTTTATTCTATCATAAACAAGTCGGAAGAGACGACCTTTCCGAATCCTACATTAAAATATATTACTCTCAAGACGTAGCTTGGTTAATTACTTGGACAATATTTAATCGCGAACCTACCACCAACGACACCATGTTATTCCAACAGTACGGTATTTCAGACTACTTGATATTCCAAACTGCGTATATCCCAATATGGCGGAGGCAGAGTCGATTCGCATCTGCTTGCTCGATCGTCCACATATATCACAATCTTCACAACACCATTAACCACCTTGTTAATTCCTTCAACTTTTTTTATTTTCACGTGTACAACCCTAACTCTATTTTCTTCATCTACTACAGAAAATATAATCCGGAGCATCTCCTAACCTACGCTTGGCTGCAGGGTTCATATACAGTTTATCTCGTTTTGTTTAATCAATTATACACATTTATTCGAAGAGGTACTGGAGAATCAGCGATTCGCCCCTCATCTTACAGTTTCGTAACCGTGATAACTTTGAACCCTCAGCCGATATCAAATTATCAAGGGACGAAATTGTATCTCGGCGTTTTTCTCGTTCGTCAGACGACTTCAGGTGTCCGCGCCATATATCACGGACATCATGATGCGGCAGAGAATGAAGTTTTCCTTTTAGCAAATAAGTTCAACTTTTCACTTAAGTACGTTAATTTGCGACACGATTTGAAACCCTACATTCTAATAAATACCCACAAACTGAAATACTTTTACGAAGACTTGAATTTTATAGGGATTTGTCGCACCGTAAAATACTATGTCATCTACTGTCGCCGTCATGAAGTGTTGGATGCATCGTGGGTTGTTTGGTTTACACCCTTCAGTCCCAATGCTTGGCTTACTTTGTGTCTGACTATTCTAATGTTAGCATTCACGCAGAAACTCAATTCCTTTTCAGATTTCGTTGAAGAACTTGCCTTCCTATTTGCCATCCTTATAAGGCAACCAACCCGAGATTTGGATGCTTGCAAATATTTGGTATTTGCCGTTGTGGCCGGGACCATTCTTCCCTCACTGTATGAGGCCATCATCACGGGAAAAATCATATCGCCCAGTCCTCCAACTGAGTTCCAGAATTTGGGCGATTTTATCAATGCGTCGTACAAGCTGAGTTTTAACGGTGACAGTTCGGGGACCTTTTACTGGATGGGACAGGATTCCGGGATATTGTACGAGTTTAAAAGATACAACGTTCTTGATAAAATTAATTCAAGTACGGTAATAATACATGATTTGGAAGCAAAAAATGAGTTTCGTAGACTTGTCAATGAAGAACAGTTAACTGGTGTCATGGTCATTGGCGAGTCCACGGGAGGGTTGACCAAGTTGGAAATGTATCAGGGGAAGACATCCAGCTTAAAGGAACATTACCCATGCAGCCAATTTTCTCTTGGTGGTTATAACATCGAGTTTATTTTTTTGTACGTACCGTTTGTCAAGGAAGGTTTGCAATTTCATAAGTTTTTGTTCCAGAGTGGTTTGATAAATCAATGGACAAAGTTAGAAAACCTTTTGGAATTACAAAAGATGATGCCGAAATGTGATGCGACCCCTTTGGTAGTAAAGTTACACAATTTAGTCAAGTTCCTCTCCGTTTGTGACATCTTATTGGGGTTAAGCGGTGTCACAATGATTTTGGAGGTTATCTTTGTCAGATTTCTGTAGATATATAATTTCCTATCGTTAAATTACACATTCCCAACAATCCCAACTATGATACAATTCAAAGTACAATGTGTCAACTTATGTATACCTAGTATTTAATTCTTAATCCATTAGCGTACAGAATATGAAATGTACAATATGCAATATGAAATATTGCGGTTAATACATCGCTTGGTTTCAAACCTTCTACTTTACAGCTTTCTCCATTGGAATGAAGTCTGTTTTGCTGTCGTCAATTATGGATTACTCGATTTCAGCGTTGTTGTCGATTCTGGTAGAATAACGCATGAGGTAGAAACACGTTAGTAGCGTGGGGCTAATATTTAGCGACTAGTTTAATACATGTTTGGCACTGTTCCGGTTGTATAAGTGAAATTTTATACTATTTGTCTACCTATTTGGTAAAATCTAAGATTTGGAACTATTCAATTATTTACTGCCATCTGCGACTTATTGGTAACAATTGGTGGCAATCGCCATGACCCAACATCATTACAGGAAAATATATGATTAATTAAAGTTAACTAACTCATAAACTCATCGCCAAATTTAATAATTACATTATTATTTAAAATTTATATTTAGAAAATATTGTAAAACAATTTTGAGAAATTGGGGACGATTAATGGTAACATTTTAACTGATTTAGAATGTGTGTGCGAATAAGTTTTAAATATGCACGCATTTATATTTATTATCTACGATATTAACTGTCCATTAGTAACTTTTGCATTGTATGACTATTTAATTAGAACTGTTTCATTTAAATGAAATCAATTTAATGGGAATATGTATACTAATTAATAAAGTAGTAAAAGTATTACACGTAATATGCCCATTATTAACATATTCACATTTTGTCACCAAACTTAAAGCTTATTTTGCTGGTTGTATTGTCGGATAAGTATTTATGAGTTTTAACAAAATTTGCAAAATTTTAAAATTACTTAAATGAAATCTCATCTCGAGAAAATGAACTTACGAGATGCAACTTACGAGACCAACTCACTTAATTTATATCTCATCTTAATCTCAACTCTGTACACATGTGCACGACTAATATTCATACACAAATGCATATAGATCTAGTTATACACATAATTATGCTGCAAGAGAAACATTCATTGTGGGAGAGAGGCCTGTCCCGCAGCAGAAATTCGTACCCACTACCAAATAGTGCAAATTAGAATGGCAAACATTTACAAGGTTGAAATATAACTTGTGCCACATCATCACATTGACTGGCATATGTGTTTTTTGTGTTTCAGGTGTAAACAATTGCTTTAAAATAACAGTTAAATAAAATTTGTTTAAGTTGTAAATAAGTACTATAAATTATACGATAAATTGATACCTGCTTCTGTCTGCTGTTCATAAATAGATCATGTTGGAAGAGGACAAATATGAGGTAATTTACTTTTAGAAGTCACATATTTCTTGATATTTTAAGAGTAATTCCAATCATTATTGTCCCGTTATTTCTTACAGGAAGGGGATTCCTTGTGTTGTTCGAATAACGGGGTCAACCTAATTCCCAATCCCGACTCGGAACCAGTTTTTATTCCAGACGTAAAAATACCACACCGTTTACTCTTTCCGAGTTTGATAAATTGCTGACACTTTATTTACAGTTGTATATATTTCATAAAAGTACACTCGTAAGAAGATCAGTAAAAGGCGGTATTGATACTGTATGTGACTTTACCGTCTTGGTAATGATTTGATAATAAATCAAATAAATTATGGTTCAAAATTTAATATTGTCTAGTAATAAAATGATTACCACATGGTATTATTTCATTACCGAGTCTATACCAGGGTAGTACAACCGTTTAATACCAAAGCGGTAGAGTAACATATCAGTACCGCCCATTTTTTTAAATACCCAGTTTCTAAGTGTGTAGTAAGAACCAGTAGCAAATTAAGTGGCCAATAAATATAAAGGTAGTAGAAGGTCTGGACGGTAGAGGGGCATATGACTTTTGTAGCGGATTAAGTGGCAACTTTCCACTAAATAAGTGTGACCGTTAGATTTTGGTCTTAGTCCTTGGGTAGGAAATTGTTTATAATATATTTTTCTCTTATACTTTGCAGATAATTCCTCATCTCTGCAAATTTCTCACCCTCCAAGATATCAAACAGTGCCGAATGGTCTCCCATCCCTGGAATTACGCGGCCACGCCGGTTCTAAAATCTCGCTCAATGATTAAGATTCGACTTAGTCCTGAAAACCTTAAAGAGTGTGATGAGCCAGCAAATTATGAACAAGCCGGGAGTTGGGCTAGTATTTTAGACGCAATGGAATTTCGTCCTGTCAATATTAATCTCCTCATTTCTGGTCAATTAGAATCGAAAATGGATCCCAAAATTTTTACCCAATTGAAAAATTTGTTAATTAATATCCAGTTAATTAGTATCCAGTACGCGACCAGAAACCAAACCGCGTGGGAGGAGGAGATCATTCAAAAAATAATGCAGACTTCGTCCACCACTTTGGAAGAATTGAGATGTCAAAGTAGCGTCCGTAGTGCTTTTCCTTGCATGAGTGACATCATTTTCCCAAAATTGAAGAAGCTCGTCTTGAATTATAGCTTCCATTCGGTGGAACATATCCTGTCAAGAATTGGTCAAGCTATGGCAGATGCGTTCCCAATTATAGAACATCTTGGGATTGGAAGCAGTCATTTATACATTATTTCTATGCGGAGTAAAATCCTAGAAACGTTTCCATCGTAAGTTCAGTGGTGGTAGTGAGAAGATAATTTATGTAAACAGTCAGAACGGAGGTCTCCCAACGTATGCTCACTGTTTTGAACGAAAATAATGTTAATCGATTACAAATTTTGTTGGTATGAAATTTGCTAAGGGCACTATCTCCAAATGCGCAGGTTTGGCGGAGATATTCGCATCCAAAGAAGCGGAAACAGGGCCCAAAAGCGACCAGTTTTGCACATTTCGAATTCGCATTACCAATTTACGCGTTTTCTTATCTTATGAAAATATCCCCGCCAAACTTGCCCATTGGCAGATATTGCCATTTGCAAATTTCATACCAATTAAATTTGTGATCGATTAACATTATTTTCGTTGGGAGACTTCCATTGTCAGAATAAGATGGCAACAAATTAATTATTTTCAGAACACTTAATTCCTTGGAAGTAATTGGATTAATTGACGCACAAGACATGAACGATCTATTGAAAATTTCCGTCCCTTTGAAGACATTAAGGCTTAGCTTGATATACTATGATGACACGGAATGCTCGTTAGACGAACGGCCCATATTTCTCTACAATTTATTAAACAAGCATTCACCTTCTTTGGAAAAGCTATCGATTAGTTTGAGTGAATATGATGCGGATGAATTCGAATGGAAGTTTCCTGTATTTCCGGTACTCAAAAGTTTGACAATCTTTAACTGCAGGATGTCGGATAAACTTAAATTCGAGTGTGGCATCGGGTCAGGACATTCTAGTCGGATTAATTACAAGGAATGCTTCCCGGCCTTGGAGAGATTGCAGGTTTTCAGTAATTCAAATGATGAGGCTGCATTTATTACGGGAGAATGTAGCCGATGTCCGATTGCATAGGTAGTGCGAGAAGGAAATCTTTTAAAGGATCCCTGTACAAGGGATGACATATTAATTTAAACTGATGTGTATGTATACTTGATTATTATTGGAAGTGTTTCATAATGCGAAGAAATGGATAAATACTAAGGAGGAAAGCTTCACTAGTTGCCACCAACAGATTTCGATGTCCTTTGGATATGTGGTAGTACCCGATGAGAGAACAAAACATCTTGAACGGTTTGATGCCATGGCCCCATTTGCGCCCGCCACACCCACTCAAAGGTCCGCCAAACGCTAGACTAGCCGCATTAAAACCTTCGCCAAAAATCCAATTTTGCTCGCATTTTCAAAAAAATTACATATTCTTGATCCCAGATAGTTGCTTTATCATGTTCAATAACAATCTCAACTTTTTTGAAATTTTGCAAGTCCTGACCTCACGAAATTTTCGAAAATAGTGAAAATTTCAAAAAAGTTGAGATTGCTATTGGACATGATAAAGCAACTATCTGGGATCAAGAATATGTAACTTTTTTGAAAATCCGAGAAAAATTGGATTTTTGGTGAAGATTTTAGTGCGGCTAGTCTGGCATTTTGCGCACCTTTGAGTGGGTGTGGCGGGCGCAAATGAGGCCATGGCATCAAACCGTTCAATATGTTTTGTTCTTTCATCGGGTACTACCACATATCCAAAAGACATCGAAATCTGTTGGTGGCAACTAGTGAAGCTCTCCTCCTAAATTAAAAAATTCATGGTTGACGTATAATTTTTAATTATTATTTGTACTTTTAAATCAGAGTTACATAAATGGTACAGTTTACAATGAAGCCATTTCACGGCGGCTTTATTAAGTAGCGCAAGCTACTTTATGCGATCGGTTAGTTAGTCTGTCTGTCCGTCTGTCTGTCTGTCAACACTATAACTCGAGAATGGTTTGTCGCAGCGACTTGAAATTCTTAACACATGCTCTTCACGGGTAGGGGGTGACACCCTATTAAGGGGGTGTGGCCACTTTGTCGACATCATGTCGAAAAACGTCGCCATGGCCTAATTTCTGCATTTTTTGGGCGATTGGCATGAAATTTGGGCAAAACATGTTTTTTGGTGTTGTCGTCATGTCGCAGTATAGAGCATGTGGTCAACTAATTAATTAATCAATCATGAATCAATTAATTAATCAATCAGTCAATCAATTAATTAATTAATCAATCATTAATCAATTAATTAATCAATCAGTCAATCAATCAATTAATTAATTAGTTAATTAATTAAATTAATTTGAGCTTTATAGCGCAAATTAATTTTCAGCATTATTGCGCTACTTATGTATCGTGCTTTGCCGCACTTTATTAGCATGGTAAACACGTGAAAGTTGATTAAGCTTGCATACATTTATACAATTTTAAACAAATTTCTAAAGGAACTTAGGTTACACATTTGTGGAAACTTTACTCTGATCGAAGGCGTGTTTTTATTTTTTAAATTTTTGTAAACTGATTTCACAACATTTTTTGGTTACCAACACCAGAATGAATTTTCTATACAGAGGATTAATTGCTAACTTTCCTTCTATTTACAATTTCTACTTTAAATTTTGAGGATTTGTAGACAACACAGTCTATATTGTTGGTTGAAGTGGTCTGACACAAGCTAGATTCGAGATTGTGTGGAAATTAAGAAAAATTGCAAGTTGTAAGTTTGTTTTCAATAATACTGTAAGTAATGTATATTTAGATTTTGGATTTTTTAGTTTTATATGTAATGAAATCCAACCTGTCTAAGATACTCGATGAAATAAATAAATAAGTTTAAAAATTGTACATTTACTTCCTCTATAATATCTATAATAATATACTTCCTCTATAATAGAGTTAGAGTTATAATTTAATTTAGAGTTATAATTTCACCAGGGTATGCTACCAGAGGTTTTAGGATATTGGGGGTTTGTGGTTTTTGATGGGGTAGTAAATATGACCAATACCCACGGGTAGTCGGGGTTTTCAAATTTAATAAAGTGCAAAATACCTAACAACCGGACATTATTTACAATTCTAAAAGCTAATTAGTAATTAGCTATCAAAATTGAATTAATACGCTGGTTTGTTGTGAAATTACTGCAAAATCATATTGTTTTCACAACTTAGAAATCCTAAGTACATGGAATACTGGCTCAGTTTGCCCCCAAAACCCCAACTACCCCGACCACCCGCAAAACCCAGGTAAAACCACTGCCAGTGGTCCACTGGGTATGGGTTTTCAATAGCAAAACCCCGGGGTTTTCCTTACCCTGAATTTAACACCACCAGGAGACAATCATATGCATCACGGAAACAATTTCTCACCCATATTATCACCATGTTTTGGCAAATTATCTCATGGACAGAGGCACAAATTACATTCCTGCTGAATGCATTCTATAACCGGAGGTAATAAAGTGTATCCTAAAAGTTGACAATAATATTTGTCACCGGTCTGGAGACAAAACACATTTGTCAACAGGCGGAGGTATATTATTACCATACGGTTGAATTCCATGGTACCTACATACACTCTCAGATGATTTTAGTGACAATTTTGCTGAGAGTGAAATGAAATTTCGAATAATGTTTGAAATAATAATTTAATAATTTACCTAATTTAAAATGGTACCATGAGTGGTCACCGGTGAGCATCGTAGATACAAAGTTGAGTAAACCAGGTTTTGTTCTTTTACAGGAAAAGGTCAGGAGAAACGTGTGGGACACCCTTTACGTATATATGAAGGAAATAAACTTGGCCTCTACACTCCTTAAAGTTCAAACTCATCCAACATTTTTCCACCCATGTTTTGATCAACTTACGCAAAAAGTATACATCCATAAATATAAATCAAAAATATCAATCCATAAATATTAATTTTCCAAAGTATGGATTTCACAGTGACGAACTAAATGTGAAAAGGCGAGGAATTTCTTTCCGCAGAAATAGCACTCGTTTCTCTTTAGACCTTGGTGCACCTGTTCATCGTGTCTTTTAAGGGAAGACTTTGCCAAAGCTGTGTATCCGCATTTCTCACAAGAATAAGTCGTCGACCCCTGTTTAGTGAAGTGGTTAGCCCGCATGTGATAATTGAGTCCAGGGTAGGACAAAAAAGGCTTATGGCACAAGTTGCACATGAAAACTTTCCGTGCATCCACCGTTTGATGGACTGCCTGAAAAAGAGAATGCCAATTAAGCAAGTAACCCTTTAAGGAGTACGAATAATTACAAGAAAATGCATTAATTCGGCTACATTAGAAGAATGCTGTGGTCAGGGAGCGGGAGGAGGAATTCAGTAAAGCGTAAAAAAGCTCTCCACACTCAAACTTCAATTTATAATTTTATGCTCATAAATATTTTAAGATATTACAAATTAATTAAATAAATCAAATGTAGTGGAATACCTATTAATATCTCACACAGTTCAAATTAGAAACTCATGATCAATTGGGAGAAGCATGAATCAATTTGTACTTGCTCTTAAATATGAACAGGGCCTGATGAAGAATTCCGAAACCCGTCGTTGGGTGTTCAAATAAAATTGACCTTAACAGAAATCAGTTCCGAAGTGTATTTTTTCATTTACAAATTAAAAGAAAACCTCGATAAAGCTGAAAAATCCATAATTTAACATTTGGTGATATTAGGAAATATCTCATTTTTTGGGGAAGATACTGTTCAAATTTAACATTTGGTTGGCATAGGCGAAATCCACCAAAACCATGACAGAATTTACGCCGCGGAGAGAAAATGGTGAAAATCAGTGACCTTTTAAAAACGACAATTGTCCTCCTCCCGCGACACGACCACAATTTTTCGGGGCGACTTGTGTCGTCCTCCCGAAGTAAACAATTTCCACTAAAAAGACAATTGACCTCCATCCGAATGGTTAAGGTTAAGGTTATTCACAATTAATTCGTTAGGAAGGATGACATGTGTACAACAAAATTTCAACTCGATTTAACCAAATTTCATGTAAAAAAATTGCAAATACAGAGTGTCCAAAATGTTTCTTCGGATTCATTTTTAAGTGCACGCCAGCCACAAAACTTAGCTGTTATTCTCGAACCAGTGAATATTTTACTTGAAAATGCTGCCATGAGTGGTCAATCGTGAGCATCGTACAGGTCAGATTCAAACTTTGGTTTTAACCAGCTTTTGTTCTTTTGCAGCACAAAGTCGGTAGAAACAATTGGGCCACCCTGTATTCTAGAGATTGGAGAGATTTTTTTTCAAAATCAAAGTTTCTTTACCTGATGCAATTTGAGGCGGGAAAGGCGGACAAAGGTCTTCCCACATGTCTCACACTTGTAGCTCTTTTCTTTCGTATGGGTAGCAATGTGGTTCTCGAGGTGATTTTTATTCTTAAATTGGACGCCACAAAGGGTGCACCTCCATCGGGCAGGATTCTCGGCATGTTCCACTCTGAAGTGAAGTCGGAGTTTTCTTGTTCAGAAAGGATTTCCCACAGGCTAAAAACGGGCAAGGGTGTCTTGGTCGGATCGCGTGGGTGTGAATATTTTTGAAATGCTTGACAGCTTCACGCCGTAAAGTGAAGGATTTGAGACATCCTGGAAATGTGCAGGGGTGTCGGGAGCCTTCCCTCGCGGTGTGAATTTTATACGTGTGGTTTTGTAAATATTTTGCATTAACAAATTGTCCCTGGCATATTTTACATATTTCACGTCCTTCGCTCGAGCCATGAATTCTACTCGTGTGGTCCCGTAAAGATCTGGCACTGAAAAATTGTTGCGAGCAAATTGAACAGGCTGGTTTTGCTCTATTGCTGTGCATGGTTCGCATATGACGGCTGAGTACGTGAGGATTTTTTAGTGTTTTCGTGCAAATCTGGGGTAAAAAAGTAAATTTGTCCTGTTTAATAATAAGCCTATTTATGACTTATAGGGCTGTCTAATTAATTAGAGGATGAAATTAATTAAGGATTCAAATAGGTACGTAAGCTTGTTTTAATAAATAGTTAAGCTTAGTACTCAGCGCTCGTTTTCTAAACGTGAAAAAAGTTAACCCGCGGTGGATTTAGATAATAGATACTTGGGGCAACCATGGACATATAACTTATAACTTCAAATTATGACGTATGACTTAATTTATAAGTTATGAG